GTAAGCTGGAGGAGGCATATACCCGGATGTGGTTCCAAGAATATAAGTTTGTCGAAGACGGTCATTAGTTTGGTAGCTAAACGAAACGCAGCACGATCTGGGATATGGCAGCACGATCGCGATATCGTCGGAACTCGGCTAACTTCGTGGTACGACAGAGCCTAGCCAATGGAGGCGCGTAGACGCCATCACACTTACCAACCAGCCTTCTTGAAGAGCGGTGACTCCGTCCTAAGAACTGTCATTTGTTTTCGTTTGCTAACGTCAAGAGAAGATTTCTAAATTGTTCTAAGATTGGTGTACTCAATATCTCTCTTAGCTCGATCACCCTATTCGCCCCTACGATATCTGACGATGGTGTTAATAATTGTGGCTTCTCCGACAAGTTTATATTTGTATTTTTTATTTGATAAGGTGTTTTCTTTCTTTTTTGGAAATAAAATTGGCTTGTTATTACTATTATTATTTTAATATTTACTTTCGACAGCCCTTATGACCGACCAAATATAAGGTGCCTCCCGAAGACCTTCTTAGTACCTCGCCGATCCTGGCAGCGTTGTTGGAGTCTGGTTGTTGAAATTTTGAGATAAAAATCATAACTTTTACGACGGCAAATAACTGACGTTGTACTTAAAACAATAATAAAATCTATACCTATGACTATTAAGTTTTTAGAAAAACAATGGTTTTTGTTGATGAAGAATGATCACTGTCACACATCACATCATAACGTTAAGTGCTTTGACTAGCTATCTACCTCTGAGGACTCCCTCCTCTAAGATCTAGTTTGCAGAAGAAAATGGAATGATTGTAGAGGGAAGCTTATTCCAGAGCCATTTCCAATATAGTTTTTTTATTAATACGTTCAAAAAGTATTTTCAGTGGATAAAAGCTTTCTTCAAGAAAAAGATATTTAAATGGTCATAGCATATTCAGACATGTCGTATTATTGTTCCGGAAAAGTCTTTTCCTGTTAAACTCATTTATTTTTATTACAAAGTTTTCCTCAACCGAAAATATCGTGAGAAATCACGTGTAAACAATATTTTGGGTTTCCATTATCCACTTCCAACAATTATTATTGAAACACGTTTTTTTCTTTTTATTTATGCTATTGCATAGCTTTTATCGTGGGCTTTGAGCGCGGCGACCGAATCAGGAAATTTCGTAAGGAAAATAAAACTTAACACCCCCACTCCGCCTACCGTGTAGCTCGCGTTCAATACATTCACACGTTGCGGTTGTGTAGTGTTTGTGAATAAGCGCGCGGCGTGACGGCGCACTGTATGCGCATCATGTCTGCCCATCTCTCACTCGTGCGGCCTAGCTTATGAGTGTGAAGGAGACAATTACTGTTTTGCTTTTGTTAATGTTTATAAATATAGCGTTATTTTATTATTGTTGTTTTAATATTAAATTATTATTGTCCAATTATAATTGCATAAGTTGATAAAAAATGCTATGCAATAGCTTTACCGCGGCAGTCCCCGAGTGCCCCACGTGTTTTTTGTTTTTTTGACTGAACGTCGATACGTTCAGTAATTAACTAAAAATAGAAGAAAGACTAAGAACTAAAAAGAAAACTAACTAACTACTAAATAGAAGAATAACTAACTAACGAAGACGTTTCGTTAAAATTGTTAAAATTAAAATTGTCATATCACAATTTTGACAATTCTGTATCAAAGACACATGACTATACTACAATTTTATTACTTTGGTCTAATCACCTGACTAAGATTATGATATTATAATTAAAAGGCCTATTTTTTTAATAAACGTTTCGCTTTTTGCTTAAGAATTTTTTGTTTTTTTTGTTTTCGAAATATATTTACTTTTCATTAATCTTCTGTCTACTTTGCAGCTATTTTCATCAGGGTAGGACAATCTGATGTTGAAATATTGTCTATACTAATATTATAAAGAGGAAAGATTTGTAATAATATTATAAAGAGGAAAGATTTGTTTGTTTGTTTGTTTCGAATAGGCTCCGAAACTACTGGACCGATTTGAAAAATTCTTTTTCCATTAGAAGCCGACATTGTCCCTGATGAACATAGGCTACTTTTTTTAAATTTTTTTTTATTTTTATTTTTTGGTTTCATGTGTGTTTTAATGTTTCCGAAGCGAAGCGAGGGCGGGTCACTAGTTTATTTATATTTTACAAGCTTTTATTTAACTTAACATTTGTATATCTGTAACTTATGTTTTTTTGGGTCTAACCTTGCAAACTTTAAAAGTTGAATTAGATCTACTTCCTTTTAAGCATGACTTATATAAATATCTGCGATTAGATCGATATAAAAGAGCACTTCAAACGTTAACAGCGCTCACTCGAAATTTTATGAACGCATTTAGTCAACACGCCTGTTGTTGAGAAGATATTGACTTCCCACGCGGACAAGTACCACCATCTTTTCTATTTCTCGTACAGTATACTATCTCAAAGGAATAATATCGTATAGTACAAATCAAACCCGTAAAAATTATATTACAATTTGCACAATCAACATACAAATGCGACCTAGACCTCAAGTTTCCAAGAGGGTAACGGCATTCACGTTGCGATGTCTGTCTGATGTTTTTTTTTGTATTGCTTAGATGGATGGACAAGCTCAAATGATGATGTCTATGGGCTCCAGCGACCACTTAACATCAGGTAGAACTTTTTATTTTATTTTATAGCTTAGATGGGTGGACGAGCTCACAGCCCACCTGGTTTTAAGTGGTTACTGGAGCCCATAGACATCTACAACGTAAATTCGCCACCCACCTTGAGATATAAGTTCTAAGGTCTCAAGTATAGTTACAACGGTTGCCCCACCCTTCAAACCGAAACGCATTACTGCTTCACGGCAGAAACAGGCAGGGTGGTGGTACCTACCCGCGCGGACTCACAAAAGGCCCTACCACCAGTAAAAAGTAAGAACCTGAGCTTATTCGCTCATCTAATAAGAAAATAAAGATAATAATGATATAATTTCAAAGTTCTCAGACAAGTACGCACTACTTCGAGCCATCTTTTAGACTTCCACGACGTAGATAACAGACGTTGAACTCCGTTTCGTAATGGTTTCTTAGATATTAATTATACACGAATCTGCGAGCCACGCTCAAGATTTTAATTAAATTATTATTAGTTAACGTGAATAACGATTATTAATTTTAACGAAATTCGATTACAAGTGGTGAACTTGTTTTAGTTATATACAGTGTGTTACTTTTTGTTATTTAACATGGCTTTTTTTCCCTATTCGGAATGGCCTTCACAAACACAAATCGTTTGTTGTCGCCATCCACCTTGAGTTATGAAAACGAATCAATTGTTTTTTTTTTATTGCCCTTGTAGGCAGACGAGCATACTGCCCACCTGATGGTGAGTGGTTACCGTCACCCATGGACTTCAGCAATGCCAGGGGCAGAGCCAAGCCGCTGCCTACCGCTTAATACTCTCCACAAGCCTCGTTTGAAGAAGGACATGTCATAGCGCTCGGGAAACACCGTGGAGGGGAGCTCATTCCATAGCCGGATGGTACGTGGCAAAAAAGACCTCTGGAAACGCACTGTGGATGACCGNACTTCGAAAGTCATAATAAATCATCGCTCTTGAATTTTCTCGAGTCAATTCCATTTTCTCAACGACTAAACAAGTTTGACAAAACCTCGTGACAAGACTGAGAATCTTTTTTTAAATAAATAAATGGTATTCGATTTTTAAAACCAAGGAGTTTTCAATTAAAAAGATTTTAATATGACAGGAACAGTGGAAATATTCCATTCCCGATACTTTTAGTGCAGCCCTCGTATGGAGGGTAGAGGTAAGGAGAACAGTCTCATATTGGAGAAGCTTGAAAAAGTGTCCCACTTTCAGCACTAAATAACAGTTCAAAAATCCTCCAGAATGGCGCCAGCATAGGCACAGGGTATGATATGAATTGAGCAGTTGTTAACTGATTGAAGTAAGCTGAGTTAGGAAATTGAATGTATTTAATGACTAGAGTAGTTAGTGACATTGTAATATACAAAACCTCACATGTTTACGTACTCCAAAGTAATTTCGTCAATAACACCTAAAATTATTACTATGGTAAAACGTGGAGACATCGATTGCATTTTCTTATCAGCTTTAAATAAAATACTTTTTTTGTGATTTTGTAGTGCTTACAGTTCTTTCGTCCTTTTTTATTTCTCTATCTTATTCTAATAACTTTTAGCGCCTTTTTAAAAAATTACCTGGTTGCTACAGTAGCGCCACCTTTATTTAGCAGATTTTAACGGACACTTTCTCACACAGAGACGGTTCTCTTTACCTCTATCCTCCATACTTAGAACTAATATCTCAGGGCGCTAACTGCGATATCCGTTTGATAAGTTAATCGAACTGTCAAAAAAAGAAGAAAAAAAAAAATGTGTGCAATTCACACGTGGTAGAAGTGAAACCTTCCAAAATTAAAATACAATTATCCTAAACGTCTTAAGTATATGTAAAATTTTGTCATTAATAAATAATAGTAAGGTAGCACCCTCTGTGAATTGATATTTTAATTTCACGTATAATCCTAAATTAAAATTCACTACAAGAGCTTTCATACGCACGTTAGTATTAAAAAATCTCACAGATGGCGCTGTATTAAATAGTATGTATATTTCTGTCTCATTCTTTGCTGGCTTCATCCTACACATTTTTGTATTTGTGTCTCTTACCTGTCGTTTTTTCCGTTGCATCCNCCTCTGTGAATTGATATTTTAATTTCACGTATAATCCTAAATTAAAATTCACTACAAGAGCTTTCATACGCACGTTAGTATTAAAAAATCTCACAGATGGCGCTGTATTAAATAGTATGTATATTTCTGTCTCATTCTTTGCTGGCTTCATCCTACACATTTTTGTATTTGTGTCTCTTACCTGTCGTTTTTTCCGTTGCATCCGGTTTGAAATCACAACGATTCTAAAGAAGTTTTCACTTCAAAAACCGCCATTTTGTGACGTCACTTACTTGATATGCATCCTCAATTGGGTCCCCTGCAAGTACATTCCGTCGCATAAAGAGCATTTAACTTGATTGTGTTTCGCTTGATGATATTTGTAGCTTCTGTGAGAGCTGAAATTGATATTATTTGCGGTGATCGCGAGCCGCGGTCAGATATTTTTTTTAAAGGATTTTATGACCTGGTAACTACGACCTTTAAGGTCAAATCTTATTTTAATTTTAATGATACGTAACTTTTTTATATGAAAATTATATTATGAAATGAAATGAAGTTGATTATTATGAAACATGGCATGAAGTGAAATGAAAACGAAATGAAATGACATGAGATGAGATGATATAGGATGAAGTATAATCTCAGTAAAATGGTGGTCATTTACTGAGATTTTTTCATTTGACTTTTCGGAGGATCCCGAGAAGTTACGTCCAGCGGCTTTGTTTCATTTTCCCACATTTGTGCACTTTTACAGATATTAAACATTTAATAAACCACCGTTATTACACATTTAAACCTGAAGAAACACTAAATAGACAAAATAAAACAAATCACACAACTTCACTCCTCGCGTTCCCGCCAAAAAGTTCCTGCGGTCAGAAATAAAAGTATTACCACAGATAAAAGATATCTCTTGACGTTTACGTTTCGTTTCACGCAGGAAAAATAAAAACTGTAAACGTCATTATTTTACTTTTTTTATTAAATTAGACGGTAGCTAGTCTAATACTCAAATGGTGATGAATAGATATATGTAGATATATTCACAATACATTACAACAATTGAAGTTGTAAATGTCTTATTGATTCATGAAAATTTGGAATTAATGTTAATAACCTATGAAATAATTTCCATGACTCATCGTCGTATTAGTTCGAAACGAAAATTTCAATTAAACGGGCAACACCAATGAAATATTAAAATATGAACTTTCAATTAAAATGGCAACACTTACGCAGTCTCGAAGCGACAGTGCGACAGATCGCATCTGTATATCTTCCGATTGACCGTATGTGCTTCTTTGTAGTGCACAACGGCTGTTTGTTTGTCCTGGTACAACTTATCGCATTCCATACACTTGTACCTGGAGGAGCGATAAGACGGTTACCTGGGCTAGGATTTAAGCGAGCTAAAACTTTGCTATTAGGAATTTTTTTTAAATTTATTACCTTTACCAGACGAGCATATGGCGCACCTGATGGTAAGCGATTACCGTCGCCCATGGACATCAGCAATGCCAGGGGCAGAACCAAGCCGCCGCCTGCCATTAAGTACTCTCCGCAAGTTTTGTTTGAAGAACGACATGTACATCGTGGAGGAGAGTTCATTCCAAAGCCGGATGGTACGTGGCAGAAAAGATCTTTGGAAACGCCATGTCCATGAACGCAGCGGTTCTAGATAATATGGATAAATTCTGCTGCGGTGGCGGGAGGTGTGATGGTAAAAAGGTGTCCGGTGTCACATCTTTTGGACGGGGACCGAAGGTTCGGGTGAAAGGGAGAGGGGTTCATCTACCGGGTGGCCTCTATCTCAGCAGCCACACAAATGATGGGGGGGGGGGCAAACAGGGAACCTCGTAGGAGGTTCGGTTCCCAGCCCAAAAAGACAAGTATCCTATGTTCTCAAGACATACGTTCTTGAAACACATTATTGGATAGGTGGTATTGTGAGCCCGCATGGGTAAGTACCCTATCCCGACTATTTATGTCACGAAACACTCATGCGCATGCCCTCTGAACAATTTAACAAAAACATTACTTTCAATTCGAAAACGTCAACCTACCTCAAATAATGTCTCTTCGTGTGAGTTCTGACTTTCGATTCTGTGTCGTAAGTACATTCGCATACGTCGCACACGTGTGCGTTATTCTGAGAAAATAAAAAGTAATTCACAGTGGTCATTTAATTTTTTTCCTTTAAAGTGAAACTTTTATTACAACGTCTCAAACTTTTTCGTCTGTGTGTTGCATGTCGCGTGACGGTCGGCCGCGGAGTAGGGATAAAGTGAAAGGCGCTCGTCAGAGCAGCCAAGGCCAACATGGCGACGCCTATAGTTGGCGATGGCTACCGAACTAAACAAGGACACCCCCTGGTCCAATCTGAGGGCAACCTGAAGACTTCATCGAAATCACATCAACCATTTCGGAGCCAGAGAGCATATTCACACATCGACTTATATGTCGAGGGCTGTGAATATCGCGTACTAAGCGACATTTAAGGCCATTTTATTTTGGTATTAACATCAACAATTCAATGTTGGTAATTGAAGTTCAATTAAGTTTACTCCATTCGAATAGCTGAAAATGATATTTTTTTTGTCAAGATATATTTTTTAAAACTTTAATGCTTGAAATGACCCCCCTGTAAGGTTGCAAAAATGTCACATAAAGTAAATAGCTTTTCACGCCTCTATATAAACTACATCATACCTCATTATGGCTGAGTGTCAAATGCCTGTCCAAGTTAATGGCGTGGTCGTAAGAGATTATACATTTCTGACATTTGTACGACTTCTTTGTGTATCTAGGGTCGCGGATGGCCCTCTCCCTCTCAGCCCCTAGCTCGGCGTCAGATAACTCTATCACCATCAATCTGATCCCGCCGACAAGCTCAAGGATCCAGCCATCCTTTTTCATCTCTTCACGTCCGCCGACAAGCTCAAGGTTCCAGCCATCCTCTTTCATCTCTTCACATCCCTGTGCCTGTAACTAAAAGATAACTACCCTCACGGACCCTCCTTTTTTTCCTACCTATTCTAGTAACTTCGAAGGGTTCGATTCGCAGAACAAGTAGGTGAGCTCACGGGGCTCTACCCTGAGCATATGGTAACACTAATCCTAGCAAGAGCAGTGGTTCGCAAAATCTACCACCGAATCGGAAAGGCGACCCACTGAGAAGATCCAGCGAGAAACTCAGTGGGCTGTTTCTACAGGTTAGTTCACTCGCCAAACCCTTCGTCGCAAGCGACGGGTTCGACGAGAACTATGACCGGTGCTTGATGTACTTAAAAGCACCGTTAATGAATCGGGAGGATCCGAAATGACGGGTTTAGGGCGACGTCAGTTGTTTACCATTCGTTCTGCAGGATTGGGAATGGGATCCTCCTCTTCCACTCAGTTCTACCGGCACCGTCGCAACCAAAACTTTTACTCATAGTAGGACGTCTTGTGAATCTGTACGGACAGGTACCACCGCCCTGCCTATTTCTGCCGTAAAGCAGTAATGCGTTTCGGTTTGAAGGGCGGAGCAGCCGCTGTCACAAGAGATGTGGCGGCATTTACGCTGTGAATGTCCATGGACTTTGGTTATCACCTGGTAAACTGAATTGGAATCACTTCCTTACATCCTATTGAATCGAAAAACACCACATTGATAAACATACTATAGAGAATAATAGAACTCAGTGGTATTTTTTTTATTGACACCCAGAGATCAAACATCATCATCAGTGTCAAGAGACAACCAGATCCATTATCTCAACAAACTGAGTTTTATCCAAGGTCCACCATTAGTACCTGATCACAAGACTGGTTCGTAGAAATCGGCTGGCTGACAGTCCACAACTCGAGAAACACAATAACAAAATAACAAAATATCACCTCAGGAAATTCCGCTGTTTCATTGTAGAAATCGTTCACTTCTGGCGTATTTTCTGCAACAACTTCTTTAACTTCAACATCTTCAGGCTCAATTTTGACTTCACATAGTTCGTTGTTTAAGGTCGAAAATAGCAGGAGGGTGCTGTAAGTGTAATTTAATACCTTCTTGAACTGAGATGTCTGGAATAAGCCAAATGAAAAAAAATTGCTTATAATGCCAATTTAAATTTAAAAAAAGCCACTTTTAAGCCTGTTAAACTTAGATTTAGAGCTCATGTCTCAAGGTGAGTGGCAGAATTTTTTGTTGATGTCTATGGGCTCAATGATAACCACTTAACAGCAGTGGGTCGTGAGCTTGTCCATCCATCTAAGCAATGAAAAATTGCTCCACTTTCTCTGATTCATAAAGATCCCCACAGATTAAATGACCTCTTTTTTAATGTGTCAACTGGAGAAAGAGTAGGCCCTAGAACTCCCTCCTCGTCAGGTTTGAGCCCCGTGACCTACTCACCTCGGTAGTAGATTGTGAAAAGCACTATTCTTGCTAGGGTTAGTATTAGCAACGTCATCAGGTTAGAGCCCCATAAGCTGACCTACTAATTCTATGATATATATTAGTATAACCCTGTGAGGTTACTAGAATAGGTAGGAAAAAAACCAAAGATAAATTGTTACAGATTGGTTCCTTAAACAAACCTTTCCTTGGAGAATGGAGCAACACTGTTCCACTCTCTTCAAGAACAGATCTGTCTTCTTCAGTAAATGATGACATTCTGTACACAGTAGCATGCTTCTTAAGTTCAGCTGAAATATACATATGGAACATAAAGTAGTATAAAGTATCTGTTATCTTAAAATATTTATGGTTCAAAGAAGAAAGAAGTTTGCATATGTAATGTATCTGTGTTCAAGCTTAGTAGGCACTTGTTTTTCTAGTAAATAGAAATGTGTCTAAGAATGAGATATTAGAAACACAATTTTTTTTTATTATAGTTGTTGTATATTGGCTACATATCCATATAAAAATCTCTGATCAGATTTTGGTGAGGTTTCTTAGTATAATAGTTACATTAACATGAGAATAGCACATAGGCTATAAAATAGTACAATTCACAATGATAGGTGGATGTGAAGTAGGTCCAAAAAAACTTTTTTAATGTTAGTAATAGTCATGGCAGTGCGACTGACTTCCATTAGAATTTTTACATTAGCTGCCTGAATTGTTGTAAGCTTTTAAGCTATATGTCGTTATGTAAATTTTTGTTGCATAGACGGGTTAATGAACCAACAGTCCATCTGGTATTAAGAGTGGTAAAGCACTTACCTTATTTTTAAAAAGCTTTTCAAGAAAAGTTATGTGTTTACAAGAGGAGAGACAAATCAAAGTTCGTCCTGTTGATAAACAATAGAAACATAAAGCTTCAGCCGATTTAGAAGAATCTAGTTCTTTCAATAGGTGCATCGTTTTTTTATTACTGATATTTTGTGTCATGTTTCAATTTGTGTTTACAGTATTTTCTGTGCTTATTTTATAATCTTTGATTAATTTGCTGCGCGCTAATTATATTGATAATTTTTTGTCAAGTTCTCGAGAACATTGTTTATTGAAAATACCAAATCCATGCAGCACCATCCTTTTGTTTATATTTTGAGTGTTTGTCAATGTCATAATAATGTCATATTAAGTGGTCTATGGTAGATAGATGTAGCAGTAGTTTTATTTTTTCAAGTGGAAAGGCAAAGATAACATACCATACAGCCTAATCTTATAGATATTTTTCATGAAATACCTATAATATTATGAAATGAAATTAATTAAAATGAATGAAACATGGCATGAAATGAAATGATATGATATGGGATATTTTTATGAAAAATAATAATATGGAGTGAAATGAAATGAAAATGATTAATTTGAGACATTAATCAACTGGGATGAAATTAAATTAAATATGATGAGATGATATGGGATGAAATATAATCTGAGTAATGGTGGTCATTTACTAAGAACTTACGTTCAGCGTCTTTGTTTCATTTTCTCTCATTTGTGCACCTTCATAGATACTAAACAGTTAAGAAACCACCGTTATTACAAATTTAAACCCGAAGGAACACTAAATAGACAAAACAAATCACACAACTTCAGTCCTCGCGTTCCCGCCAAAAAGTCTATGGTCAATGTTGAGTGTTTTAAAAATTTTGACATATCAAAATAGTGATGTAACTAGATAAACTAAACTAAAAATGCAAAGTGCAAGTCCCATCGTTAAAAAATAAATAAAAAGGCTTCCTATCGAATTTGACAAGTTGAACAGAAATTTGACAAATTGAAGAAAAAGTGTTCTTGAGCTTATTAAATATACGAAACTAATCTGTAATGGAAACAAAAAACACCTGTCATTGGACTTTTTGGCGGGAACGCGAGTAGTAAGGTTGTGTGATTTGTTTTACTTTGTCTATTTAGTGTTTCTTCAGGTATAAATGTGTATTAATAACGGTGGTTTATTAACTGTTTAATATCTGTGAAAGTGCACAAATGTGGGCAAATGAAACAAAGCCGTTGGACGTAACTTCTCGGGATCCTCCAAAAAGTCCGCTGTAAAAATCTCAGTAAATGACCACCATTTTACTGAGATTATATTTCATCTTATATCATTTCATTTCATTTCACCCCAGTTGACTAATATCTCAAATTAATCATCTTCACTTCATTTCATTTCACTCCATATTATCATTTTTCATACCTAAAAATAAGAATATAAATTAAAATAAGACATGACTTAAAGGTCTTAGTTACCAAGTCATAAAATCCCATTGATAGACACCTGTCATTTACATATGGACCTTTTTAGACATAAATAAACATTTTTATAGAAAACTTTAATTTATCAGTACTGAAGATTTATTCGCAACTTTCTAAACAATTAAAATGGACGAATCACCAGAAATCTTGTTAAGAAAATTATGCTGTACTTGTTTGAGCAAAGATCGTAAACTTGTGCAATTGATGAAGATAAAAGACGGTGTAAATAATCTATATTCGTTATTATCCATTGATTCTGAGGCCTATCAAGTGAGTGCGGTGTTAAGTCATAACATTTTAACACGAAAACTATAAAAAAATTATTACGTCAGGAGATATGAATGAAAAGCTTTTTTAATAAAAAAAATATTGCCCTAGTAGGCAGACGAGCATAAGGCCCACTTGATGGTAAGTGGTTACCGTCGCTCGTGGACGTCGGCAATGCCAGAGGCAGAGTCGAGCCGCTGCCTAAAAATGGAATAAATGTCAACAAAATAACGTAGATTATTCGGCCAATGCAGTTTTAATTCATGTCTAACTTACAAATAAGACATAGGTAATCAAAACTTTTTTATGGTTTAATCTAGCGTTTTTTATAAAATAGTTATTACATCGACGCTTGAAAGACATACATGACTAAGCGACAATAACTGCTTTGTACATAAATGATAGGCAATAACCATATTCGATGCGCAAAAAAATATATTTTTAGGTCTATTAAAATCATTTCAATCCTACAGCTTCTAGCTAGATTCTACTACAGTTAGATTCATTAAAATAAATTTTGTTTTCAGGTATTTCAACTTTAAATTATTAGTCTACTGTAGAGTTCATGCATTGTCGCTTAGTCACGTTTGCCTTTCAAGCGTTGACATTATTTGTGATATTGGGAAAAATTATTACTTTACACATAAAAATAGAGAAGTTGAGAAGTGCTTGTTTGGTATGGACATGTGATGAGACGAAATGACAATGAGGTTGTTGAGAGACTTGTAACTATGAATGTGGAAAGCTTTAGAGGTAAAGGTAGGCCTAAGAAAAAATGGATGGATTGAGTGAAATACATGTAAGAAGGGGGTGAGTGACGAAATGGTATATAATAGAGAAGGAAGGAGAAAACATTTTGCGCTGATCCCAGGTGACTGGGAGAGAGGCAGGAGAATGATGATGATGCTGATTCTAAACATCATTGGGAACCTAGGCTTTCTGACTGTAAACTCAGTACTAATTCCTCTGCATTGTCTTATAGGGTATATGAAACCCCCTCCTTTAAGTTTTGCTATGTTTTTCTCATCATACTTACTCTCTATCTCCATTTTCCTTAATGACTAGGTTACAAGACATGTCCTGTATTTCTGCTTCAAGACACGTATAAATAGAGACTCCAAACCGCAAAGGCACCTTAAGTGCTTTAGCCCTTCATAATTCCTTACGTTGGTTTTATTGATTCCGTTGTATTCATTATGATAAATGAATTAGCACTTTTTGGTACTGACATTCATTGTTATATTCTTCCAGGAATGCTTCTACAGGGAAATAATGAGTTTGTTCATATGTTGGGAATGCAATGCATTCATACAGAGATTGAAGCTATTTAGGCAAAGAGCTTGCAGTGCCCAGAGGCTACTCACGGACATATTGGATGGAAAAATTGATGTAAATGTTATTTTTGAGATTTGTATAGATATGTACGAATGTAGTTAATCAAATGGGTGGTAGATAATTTCCTTGAGCGCCTTAAACCGATTCTGATGATGATAGTGATGTTCATCAGACATTAATTCAGATATTTCGAAGAGAGAATTTAATGACAGGAATTAGTAGTAGCATATTTGTGAACAGGCTTATGGTCCGTCTGACACTAGCAGGTCACCAGATTCTGTAGACACATACCTTGAGATATAATGTAAAAGTCAAAATTGTATGATACAATTGAAGACATGAGTGGATGAAGGGGATATGAAACAATTTGTTAATAAAACAATTTGGCATTGCTGAAGTCCATGGGCGACGGTAACCACTTACCATCAGGTGGGGCGTAAGTGCGTCTGACAAAGGTAATAAAAAAAAAGAATATTGGTCCAACCATCTCATCTCTATATCACATAAACATAGACATTTGAAGTCTCTGTTATCTGCGAGGCACAAAAATAAAATAGCCTAAAACCTTAAAGAAATTATTTACAAACCATCAGTGTCACCAAAATTACTTTTTTTAGTTTCAAAAACAGAAATCGCTTTCAAGTTTAAGAGTGAATGAAAATCTAAACATAATAAGTGAAAGGTATCCGGAGGAATGTGAAGAAATTATAAATGAAGAACACTGTATTTCAGAATTAAACTTAGATAATATGCCCCTGAAAGATTTGAAAGGATATTTGAGGAGAAAGAAATGTGGTGAGTCTTCTTTTAAGCTATTGCACAGCTTTTATCGCGGGCTTTGAACGCGGCGACCGAATCAAGAAATTCCGTAACGAAAATGAAACCTAACACCCCTCCTACTCCGCCTACCATGTAGCTCGCGTTCAACACATTCGAAGGGGACAGTTAATGTTTATAAATATAGCGTGGTTTTATTTTATTATTGTTTTAATATTCAATTATTATTGTCTAATCATAATTGCATAACTTGATAAAAAATGCTATGCAATAGCTTTACCGCGGTAGTTCCCAAGCGCCACACGTGTTTTTTTTTATATATTTCATTCATTCATTTCATATATATCTTATATAATAAAAGATCAATGAACCGTCCTTTAATAGGTGGAAGTAACAAACCTAGCATCAGGAATTTAGACGAGAAATGCAAAAATCAACCCTACGATAATCAACGTTCGAAGAGTACTTGCAATTTTAGTGCTTGCATGATGGAGTCGAAGAGAGAAGTGAACTCTGAAGGGAGTAGTAACAATGGTTTACAGTACAATGAGGTACAGCTAATTAATTAGTAGATGACGTCATGTAACGAAAAAGCGTTATACCGCCGTTTATGCAACTTTCTTCTCTCTCTCTCTCTCTCTGTCTCTCCTCTCTCCCCCGTCCACCCGTTCACGCCGTATCTTCCTCTCTCTCTCTCTCTCTCTCTCTCTTTGTATCTTTCTATTGCAATCGGCATGTTTGATAATAAGGGATTTGCTTTTAACTTGGTGTTAATTGGTAACCCAAGCCCATAGACGAAACAACATGAATAGGGTTGAGGCTTGAGGACTGTGGTACCAACTGTTTATCAAATAGGCAAATTACGATTTATGCACTTTTGATTTTAATTACACGATGTTATTCCTTCATCGTGGAAGTCATTTGTGAACATTTTATCAAATACGTATTTCATTACAAAAATGAGTACTCGCCTGCGAGATTCGAACCTTGGCACGGTCGCGTCGCCCAATACGAACGCACCGGCCGTCTTATCCCGCAGGCCACGTCGAGAAAAACGATAAAGATTGCTTTAACTCTTACAGCGCGAACCTTCGATAGAGCGACTCTCTATTAATGCGTATAAAGTGCGAAACGTCGGAATATCGACTATTGCGCAGTTAGATTATAGGTTTAGGCATCGATATGTATTTATAAATAACCATTTAAAGGTATTTTGCTGTGAATTTAGCATTCATTCTTTTTAAAGTGTATTTTTAAGGTACTTTTTAAAAAAAAGGGTGCATGTACTTATGTACGCGCGTAAGAATATTTTTATACATTATTTTTATATACATATATTTTTTTTAATTACAATTTTAATGAATTTGAAAAAAATCGATTAAACAACATCCTCAAACACGCATATTGGACATCCCTTTTCTTGACATCGTATAAATTTGGTAATTCTCGGTACGGTTCGGAAAGTTCACCTGCGGCTATATTCAGACTCACCAAGTTACGTAATGAGCGATTTAGTGGGCAACTTCATTCTGTTAATTTTGTGTCACAGTGCGCGCGCATCGTAAAACTTCACTCTCATCAATTTTTCATAACGCGCGTAAAGAAGTATAACTTCAAAACCTTTACCTATTTCTGTAAAATATACGAAAAATAAGTTCTACTCACTAAATTAATTAAATTTCACAGACACCATCCAACAGTAGATCAGCGAAAACGTCCAAGAGGAAATTAATCCGAACGAAGAAAGACGCGATTAAGAAAAGTAATTTTCAATGCAAATTCTGCGAGATGTCTTTTGAGTGAGCAATATGTTTATTTAATGTGTCTCATTGAGTTTACTGCTGTCCATGGGCATTACCAAGCGAATCTCGCCACCCGCCTTGAGACCCGAGGTCTGGTGGGAGGGCGTCTTGTGAGTCCGCACGGGTAGGTACCACCGCTCTGCCTATTTTTGTAGTGAAGCAGTAATGCGTTTCGGTTTGAAGGGCGGGGCAGCTGTTGTAACTATACTGAGACCTTAACACTTGAGAACTTATATCTCAAGGTGGGTGGTGTATTTACGTTGTAGATGTTTATGGGCTCCGGTAACCACTTAACACCAGGTGGGCTGTGAATTCGTCCATCTATCTATGCAATAAAAATGGTGGGTAGTCTTCAATAAACAGTTAACAGCAAGATGAACTGTAAATTCGTCCACCCGTGTTAGCAATAAAGAAAGTTTTGTCTCAATTGCATCAAATGTCGCGACTGCCTTTCGAATTGGAAGGTATTATTGTGAAGGTTTACGACAAAGGGAAGATCTTTCACCGAGCAGGTGATATTGCTCTACAGACCGATGCTCCGAATGTTGTTTTTTTTTCCCTACCTAAGTTGATGGTCTAGACTCTAGAGAGACCATAGCGTCACCGGGCTTCACCGAGCCCCGTGACCTCACCTACACGCTAGGGTGAAGCTGAAATAGCCTCTCAAGGCTATCAGCATAGGTACGAAAAAAGAGCATCCATCGGCATCCTGGATCTGTTTCCAGGACGAAGCGGCTGAGGGTCGGGCACTCGAGGCGAGCCCACGCCGAGGGTCTGGCCTGCTCCGTCTGCGGGAAACGCTACCCGTCCAAGTACAGCCTGCTGCAGCACGAGAGGTGAGCATACGGCCTTGACGGAAATAACGTGTAATACTAATAACTAGTGGTCCCCCAGTAGTCGAAATTCGACTATAATTAATTGAAATTATAAGTTTGAACATTATTACGGTTCTATTGTCGAAGACTATTTTTTTTTTTTATTTTTTTTTATTGCTTCGATGGGTGGACGAGTTCGCGGTCCACCTGGTGTTAAGTGGTTATCGGAGCCCATAGACTTCTACGACCAAAACGCCGTCACCTATCTTGCGATATAAGTTCTAAGGTCTTAGTATAGTTACAATAGCTGCCCCACCCTTTAAACCGAAACACATTACTGCTTCACGGCAGAAATAAGCGGGGTGGTGGTACCTACCCGTAAAGCGGTAGCGGTAGCGGAAAAACAAGTTGAGCATCAACTGTACTACCTTTCGAGGACTTAGCTTGAAGCGCACGGAACTAGCTAACGAAAAGCGCCTTAAAAATCCAAAGGATTCACTGTCTGCATATATTACAGACTCCATCGTGGTCCTATGCCGAGAGAGGAATGTAGGGTCTGTCACAAAATGATCCGCGTGGACCTGGTCAAAACTCACGCTCGCATTCACGAGGACAGACAGAGTTATGAGTGCTTGAAATGCGACAAGAAGTATGTCAGTAAGGCGTCCTATGAAAATCATTTGAAATTCAGCCGGGCGCACGCGGTCGTCGATGTATTGAAGTAAGTGTACACACTGCCATAGTTAGAGTGGCCTTTTCCCATACCGATGTACATTTACATACAGTCTTATACTTTACTACTATAGACACAGTCCTATACTACACTACTATAGACACAGTCCTATACTACACTACTATAGACACAGTCCTCTGCAGCTCTGTACTGATCCAGAGCTCTTCTCGTGCACAAACAGACACAGATCCGACCTACATCCAGCCGAGAGTCCTATACTACACTACTATAGACACAGTCTTCTGCAGCCGTGTACTGATCCCGAGCTCTTCTCGTACACAAACAGACACAGATCCGACCTACATCCAGCCGAGAGTCCTATACTACACTACTATAGACACAGTCTTCTGCAGCCGTGTACTGATCCCGAGCTCTTCTCGTACACAAACAGACACAGATCCGACCTACATCCAGCCGAGAGTCCTATACTACACTACTATAGACACAGTCCTCTGCAGCTCTGTACTGATCCCGAGCTCTTCTCGTACACAAACAGACACAGATCCGACCTATATCCAGCCGAAAGTCCTATACTACACTACTATAGACACAGTCTTCTGCAGCCGTGTACTGATCCCGAGCTCTTCTCGTACACAAACAGACACAGATCCGACCTACATCCAGCCGAGAGTCCTATACTACACTACTATAGACACAGTCCTCTGCAGCTCTGTACTGATCCCGAGCTCTTCTCGTACACAAACAGACACAGATCCGACCTATATCCAGCCGAAAGTCCTATACTACACTACTATAGACACAGTCTTCTGCAGCCGTGTACTGATCCCGAGCTCTTCTCGTACACAAACAGACACAGATCCGACCTACATCCAGCCGAGAGTCCTATACTACACTACTATAGACACAGTCCTCTGCAGCTCTGTACTGATCCCGAGCTCTTCTCGTACACAAACAGACACAGATCCGACCTATATCCAGCCGAAAGTCCTATACTACACTACTATAGACACAGTCTTCTGCAGCCGTGTACTGATCCCGAGCTCTTCTCGTACACAAACAGACACAGATCCGACCTACATCCAGCCGAGAGTCCTATACTACACTACTATAGACACAGTCCTCTGCAGCTCTGTACTGATCCCGAGCTCTTCTCGTACACAAACAGACACAGATCCGACCTATATCCAGCCGAAAGTCCTATACTACACTACTATAGACACAGTCTTCTGCAGCCGTGTACTGATCCCGAGCTCTTCTCGTACACAAACAGACACAGATCCGACCTACATCCAGCCGAGAGTCCTATACTACACTACTATAGACACAGTCCTCTGCAGCTCTGTACTGATCCCGAGCTCTTCTCGTGCACAAACAGACACAGATCCGACCTACATCCAGCCGAGAGTCCTATACTACACTACTATAGACAGTCCTCTGCAGCTCTGTACTGATCCCGAGCTCTTCTGGTACACAAACAGACACAGATCCAACCTGCATCCAGCCGAGAGTCTTATACTACACTACTATAGACACAGTCCTCTGCAGCTCTTTCATTGTCCTAGGTACAAGTGTTCTGTGTGTGAGAAAGGGTATAGATCCAAGGGGGAGCTCCGCGATCATGTAAATTATCAGCACTTGGGTCAGAGTCAGCACAGCTGTCCAATTTGTCAAAAGGTATGTTTATATTTTTGCACGTTATATAAGGATTATTTAGTATATGTGATGAAGTCCATCGACCTCAAAGCGAACGTTATGGTCCACTTGGAAATAATTCGATGTTTCAATTGCAAAATATCATCCTACCCTCCGTTACTGGTACGTATTTAATGCATAGACAGACATCAAAACGTGTATAACCTCTATTAACCTCATCAGGGACGAATTTCTAAAAAAACAAAAAACCATGAATCTAGCTTATTTATTATTAAGATTTTTTCATTTTATATTGAAAACAATTTAATAAGTAAAAATAAAATTACCAAAATATTAAATTTTTATTAAAATATTAGTTCATTAATACAAACAAATATACGTCCAAATATGTGGTCATTTAGCGTAGAATGTTAATGTATAAATAATAAACAAACAAAAAGAAAAATGTAAATATATGCCCCAATATCATTGGTGAAGTTTATACACGACATCTAAATCTCAATCCTATAGTAGAACGCTTGTTGCTGCAAATCGTCTGTATAAATATGGTGGTGGTACCAGGGCACACACGACGCCCTACCACCAGCGATACTTCTAACAATACCGCCTCTGATTCGGTATACCCTTCCAATACATTAACAGAGACAATCCTCCGTCTGATGGACTCCGAATGCGGCCCGACTCTGTTATATTTATATAATTCCGCAGCCGTTAGCTACGCGTCGTTGCATAACGAGACACATCCGTCGCGCCCATCAGAACATAAAGGAGAACCTTCGAGATAAAATGTGTCAGAAATGCGGGAAGGCTTTTCGGGTAAGTTGCGCAATAAACAGCGTAATGTGGTCTACACAGCTACCTAATCTCTGGTAGCCTAAGGGGCTATTTCACCGAGAGGGCTGGTGGTCGTGGCGCCGACGACCGCCGGTCCGGCGTCCCGAGGGGGAGGGTGATGGGAGAGATATGCTCCGCACTAATCGCTTTACTTTCTCCCTTTGCCTTTTCATGAGTTCAGTCTCATGCGAAGCTTGGACGTTGGTTGTTGAGCGACAGGGGGTTTTAGTCAGTTCGACTCTGACATGCCCCGCTATCCATCCCCAGTGGAGGGCGGAAGTTCGGCGATTTCCTCCTGACCAACTATTTCAGCTACGCGCGGACGGGTGGGCGAGCTCACGGGCTCAACCTGAGAGAGTTTCGTAACACAGGTCCTGGCAAAAGCAGGGCTTTGCCGAATCTAATCTGAAAGTCGTCGTGGCCTAAAGGATAAGACGTCCGGTGCATTCGTATCTAGCGATGCACCGGTGTTCGAATCCCGCAGGCGGGTACCAATTTTTGCTAATGAAATACGTACTTAACGAACGTTCACGATTAACTTCCACGGTGAAGGAATAACATAACGTGTAATAAAAATCGAACCCGCAAAATTGTTATTTGCGTAATTACTGGTGGTAGGGCCTCTTGTGAGTTCGCACGGCTAGTTACTACCACTCTGTCTATTTCTGCCGTGAAGCAGTAATGTGTTTCGGTTTGAAGGGAGGGGCAGCCGTTGTACTGTTAAAAGTGAGACCTTAGAAATCAGATTTCGAAGTGGGTAACGGCATTTACGTTGTAGATGTCTATGGGCTCAGGTAAGCACTTAACACCAAGTGGTCCGTGAGCAATAAAACAGTCAGGAGCGCTAACCACTGCATCCTCGTTTTTATATGGCTATCCTTTTTAGTACAAGAAGTCTTTGAGGGAGCACGAGCTGATACACACGGGCGAGAAGCCGCTGGTCTGCGGCGAGTGTGGCCGCAGATTTAGGCAGGGCGCAGCCTTATACACGCACTGCAGACGCGTGCATCAGAACACACACGACAGAGCCAGACCGACGGCCTAATTAAACTATCCTCTCTAATAGGGGACCACACTTGAATCTGCCTGTACTTTTGTTCCCTACCTATGCTGATAGCCTTGAGAGGGTATATCAGCTTCGCCCTAACGTGTAGGTGAGCTCACGGGGCTAAAACCGGAGTGGAGCTAACACTGGCCCTAGCAAGAGCAGTGCTTCGCAGAATCTACCACCGGATCGGAAACGTGACCCACTTAGAAGATTCGGTAACTCAGTGGGCTGTGTTTGTGGGTGTGCCAGTACAATGATCTTGGGTTTAAAATACCGACGATTCCTATGCAGCTTCGGATGGCAGCTTTCTTTGGAGTTTGGTAGTTAGAATCCTCGAACTGGAAAGTTCGGTTGTGTGAAGACGACGCGAAAGCTGTCATTGCTGTGAACAGTGAGGGGTTCTTTAAGAGGAAGCTGCGGAATGTGGCGGGATTGGTCTGTCAGAGTCAAAGGATTGACGAAGATATGACCTTACGAATATAACTTCGGTGGTGTTACCACGGAAATTGTCTTTGTAACGTCGGTAAAAGTAAAATGGAAATAAAAATTCAATCAAGAATTAACTGTAGTTTTAATTATTATTATCTTCACGATGCACGTGAGCCGAAGGAATTAAGAATGATAGGTAATTTATAAAGTTTATGTGTATAATATTTGTTTAGTGTAGCATTTAGCTTGGGTTGTTTCCAGATTTTTCCGTGTCTATTCTTTTTGGAGTTTACTCCTTTAGAATCGATTTACATATATAGGCCCGGGGTATGAAAATTATGGGGACCAAAATCGTACTAGCATGTCACACGAAATGCGTTATGCGCCTGATTGGCTCCTGATTGCGTGATGCGTGCGCGCGCCAATCAGGAGCCAACGCGCGGCCGCGTTATCGCAGGTGACGCCGGGCTGCTGCGCCGGCAGTCCGCCACAAAGCCTCGTACTGATCGCGCGTTTCTCTCATTATTGTATTTTCATATATTTGTTAGTCGTTTGTTTTGTGTCTCGTTAATTTGTTAATAATCTGTAGTGTATCGTGTTGTCGTAATATAGAACTATTTCTCGTATTGTTTCGTTTAATTTTTTATATCCAGTAAACTCCAGTCGTGCGTCGGAGCGGACACACACACTTTTTTTTTTTAAAGGGATTTTATGACCTGGTAACTAAAACCTTTAGGTCTTATTTTAATTTATATTTGTATTTTTATGAAAAATGAATATGGAGTGAAAATAGAAATGAAATAAAGATGATTAATTTGAGACATTAACCAACTGGGATGTAATGAAATGATATGGGATGAAATATAATCTCAGTCAAATGGTGGTCATTTAATGAGATTTTTTCAGTGGACTTTTTGGAGGATCCCGAGAAGTTAAGTTCCATCGGCTTTGTTTCATTTTCCCACATTTACGCACTTTCACAGGTTGTCACGATTTGACAGCCCATGTTCCCGCCAAAAGTCCGGTAACTTTTTTCGTAGAATTCATAAATCATTTTTCTGCGATGTTAACGGCAAAGGGATCTGCGACCGTTGTATATTTGCAATTACTTTATTGACAGACTATTCGTTTGATTCTACTGAAGTTGTGTGTATCTCATTTCTTGACCAACCATTGCCTGTGTATCTCGGCTGGAAGATGTCATGCGTCCCGATTTGTAGGTTTGGACCGGACTTCGACCACATGTATTGAGGCGAGAGACTGCGTTTACTATGGGGTCTATCGTCTATATCTATGTTCACTAGCAATGTCAATTATCAATAAATAAAAAACATATTTTATCAAAAATAATTCCTTTTATTGTTACAAATACTTCGTTATAACTAATTAATAATAAACATATAAATATTTCGAATATCTTACATCAGCATCATGTATTAAAACCCCAATCCTCTGTAATGGGAAGACATTTATTTCGCATTTCCATGTGATGCTATAATAAAACAATTGTTAAAAGTGTTAAGCCGGTAACAGTAACGCCATCTGTCATCAAATAGCGGAAACGAATATCCAAGCAACTTGTATATATCGAAGGGTGAAAGGTTATTTGGCTTAAGTGTCATTTCGTTTTATACGCGACATTAATCTTTTTTTCTCCCTACCTGTGCTGATAGCCTTGGGAGGCTATTTCAGCTTCTGCTTGACGTGTAGGTGAGCTCACGGGGCTCAAACCGGAGTGTTGCTAACACTGGCTCTAGCAAGGGCAGTGCTTCGCAGAATCTACCGCCGGATCAGTAACGCGAGGTCTTTCACCCCTCGATATATAGTATGGAGAACGTTCGAGAAGCGTAACGCCATCTATTGGTACTCCCCGTAAATAGACGAGGGGGACCCGACGAAGCGGAACACCCGTGAGCCAATGACCTGTGTGCTTAGTAAGAGTTTATTAACGTTCTCGATAGCGTAAAAGTTACCTCATATTTGTATGGAATGGGATCGTTTGCGTACGTTTGCCGCTAGGGGCGCTGTTCCAATTGCATACAAAATTGGCTTAACTTTTACGCTATCGAGAACGTTAAACTCGCACTAAGCGAACAGATGGATATTCTCTACGACCATTACTCGTCACGTGTTATAGAATGCACCACACTCTCTTTGTCCTCACGGCGCACTAGTCTGACGCGACCCCGCATTGTGTAGAAGTCTTTTGTGGTTGTAAAGCGTCGCGGAATGCGTGAATGCGGCGCCGCAGTGCGTACAGCGGTGCGGGCGCGCCCCCGTGTGCGTATCCATGTGGGACTTGAGCGAACGGCGCTGATAGGACAATCGAAGACACGAGCGGATGAAGGAAGGGGATATGATACAATTTGTTAATTTTGAGAAAACAGGCCAAGTCGTCGTGGCCTAAAGGATAAGACGTCCGGTGCATTCGTGTTGAGCGATGCACCGCTGTTCGAATCCCGCAGGCAGGTAGCAATTTTTCTAATGAAATACGTACTCAACAAATGTTCACGATTGACTTCCACGGTGAAGGAATAACATCTTGTAGTAAAAATCAAATCCGCAAAATTATAATTTGCGTTTATTACTGGTGGTAGGACCAATTGAGAGTCCGCGCGGGTAGCTACGGTATAACTGGTGGTAGGACGTTTTGTGATTCCGTTCGGGTAGGTACCACCACACCGCTTATGTCTGCCGTGAGGCAGTAATTTAATGTAAAATTGTGACTTCGAACTTATGCCTGTGTGTATAGCTGTCGGTGAGGCAGATTATGTTGATGATGTCTACGGGCTCCGGTGACCATTTAACACCAGGTGGACCGTGAACTCATACATTTATCTCAACAACAAAAAAATACTAATCATTGAGAGGGTCGTTGATAAGTTTGCCCTTGAAATCCACACCAATTCAAATGCTATTGGCCGGGCGTGTAGACAAAAAGATTACTCTACACACTCACCGTGAACGCTTTGCCGCAGTAATCGCAGATGTGGTCCCTGGGCACCTTCTGCTTTTCGTGGACATAGGCTATGTGGTTTTTCAGCGACCTTGCTGTACGAACCATCTGCAATATTGTAAACTTTCCGGATACGTACCGTAATTCCTGCCTATTCGAATAGGAATCTTCGGGAATGTTCGAGAACGCGTGCTGAATACGCTAAGTTTGCTATGTGTATGTGCATTACTATAATTCTCATGTTGTATTGGTTATTTTAGCCGTTCTACACACACTCATCGCTTTTAATTATTATTCTCATAATCCTCTCGCAGGTCTGCTGAAAGAGATCTCTTAAAGAAATAAGCAGTGCCTTTGTACATAATTTTCCTATTACTCTGTACTATGTCTTCTTTTTTGTGAGTATATAAATAAAAAAATTAAAAATATAGTTTGGTTGGCAGTTCCTCACATGAAAGCTCGAAGCGGTTAGATACATACAGTGATTAGTCATGAGCAAAGCAAGACCGGGACTTGGACAGTATTGATTGTGGTCTTTTTTTGATTGCCCTTGTCGGCAGGCGAGCATATGGCGCATAATGGTGAATGGTTACCGTCGCCCATGGACATCAGCAATGCCGCTGCTTACCGAAAAGCACTCTAAGATATTCCTTGGTCTTAAACTTGCTTTTCTGCATGACCTGGACCTTATTAATGCAATGCGAATTCAAAGTTAAGCTTGATTGCGGAGTTTAGAGCTTTTAGCTTTCGTTCCGTAATAAAAGCTTTGATATGAGTTCTTACTTCTGAATACCTGGAGACGTGACAGAATAAAATCCGTACGATGGTACCCTAAGGGGCTATTATAGCTACGCGCGGATTTGTTGGTAGTAACTTCCCGAGGGGACCCAATGTGGGACCACTTGATAACTTCATTTATAGGTACATATCAAGGGGTGAAAGGTTGTTTGGTTTAAGGGACATTTCGCTTAACACGCGACATTTATCTTTGTAATTAAAGGTTTTTTTTTATTGCTTAGATGGGTAGACGAGCTCACAGCCCACCTGGTGTTAAGTGGTTACTGGAGCCCATAGACATCTACAGCGTAAATGCGCCACCCACCTTGAGATATAAGTTCTTAGGTCTCAGTATAGTTACAACGGCTACCCCACCCTTCAAACCGAAGCGCATTATTGCTTCACGGCAGAAATAGGCGGGGTGGTGGTACCTACCCGTGCGGATTCACAAGAGGTCTACCTACCACCAGTAAAACCACCAGGTCCGTTTTATTTGGTATCAGCATCAACAGTTCGATGTTTTTAATTAACCTTCATTAAAATAGCTGAAATAAGCGTCTTTGTTATGATATTTTCTCCAAAATTTAACAATTTAAATTGCTCTCCTGTAGATTTGCCATTATATCGCTTAAGCCACCTCTCACCTCTCGATACAAAGGTTTACCTTCAGACAAATGTTGCATCGGTGGTTCGATATCTTCAAATGTACCCACTCGATGTGCCCCTTCAGACGAGACTTCGTAGGGAACTTCGCACCGCAATTATCGCACGTGTACCTGTTGTTATAAGGCACAAGGCTTTAACGAAAAGCTCCCGGGAACGAAGACTTTGGGTGGTGATTATCAGAAAACTTTCCCGCTGAGTGTATCGCCGGATCTTTTGAGGGTATCGCGATTCCGATTCGTAGGTAGATTCAACGAAGCTCTTGCTAGGGCCAGTCTTAGCTAGTCCACTCAGGCTGAGCCAAGTGAGCTTTCATGCACGTTTGGTGAAGCTGTCATAATCCCTCAAGATCCTTTCTCAAGGTGGCAAGTTTCGAGTCATTGACGCCTATGGACTCCGGAAACCGCCTAACAGCAGTTGAGCCGTGAGGTCGTTCACAGGTCCGAGCAATATTAACAATTCCCATTAATAGCACGCTCTGACAGTTACCGTAATCCCAATCGTCACACAGACGAGTGTTGCCAATGCTGAAATATTTTCCAAATAAATAAATCAAATAAAATACACTTAGTGTTGCCGTAATACCAATTGTCACATAGTGTTGCCAATGATGAAAGAATTCCCAAATAAATAAAATACACTGAGTGTTGCTGTAACCCCAAATCGTCACACAGTGTTGCCAGTCAATGCTGAAAGGTTTCCCAAATAAATAAAATACACTTAGTGTTGCCGTAATCCCCAATCGTCACACAGACGAGTGTTGCCAATGCTGAAGCGATCCCCCGACTCGCCTGTTGGGTTGCAGGGCGGCGTGACGCGAGTGTCCGGCGAGGTGCCTTCGCAGGTTGTTGTCAGTGCTGAACTGTTTGAGGCAGAGAGTGCACCGGTAGAGGGCGCCGCCGTGGGTCGCCCGCGTGTGGGCGCGCAGACCGCAGCGCTGCCGGTACTGCTTTGGGCAGAGCGGGCACGCGTACGACGTCACCTTCTTGTTGTGGACGCCGCTTCGAGGGAAAGTGTACGTTGACGATATCATCTTATTCACTATTACAGTTAAACGAAAAAAAATGGAAAATATTTGTCGACTCGAATTGTAAGTATACTTGAGACCTTAGAACTTATATCTCAAGGTGGGTGGCGCATTTACGTTGTAGATGTGTATGTGCTCCGGTAACCATTTAATACCTGTGAGCTCGTCCACCCATCTAAGCCATGAAAAAAAAACAGAATTTTAATAAAAGAAAGTGACCGCATTAACGTCACGATGTCCATCTAGCTTATTTATGTAGAAAAATGTATTTGAAGGAATTCACACATTGACAGCTTCGCAAGCAATCAATACCGTATTTAAATTCTCTACTACACATACATAATGTCTATAGGCTCCTCGTACTTAACACTAAACGCATTAGCACTAAGCATCGGTGACTGCTGAGGCCCGTGCGCTCACGGCCGACCCGCCTTTAAGTCCGGAGCCCACGGACATCAACAACGCGAGTACGGCCGCCCGAGCGATCGTTAACCCAACGCCATATCCTACCTCTGACGGATTCTTCTACAAACGAGGGTTGTGGAGATTATTAAACGGTAGGCAGCGGCTTGGCCCTGCCCCTAACATTGCTGATGTCCATGGGCGACGCTAGCGACTCACCATCGGGCGGCCCGTATTCTCCACCCACAAGGGCAATAAAAAGAAAACTTACTACATATGGGAGCGCAGCTGCACCCATTTCCCATAGACCTTGCCGCATTTCTCGCAAGGGTAGCTCTCGTGCTTCGACCTGTGGTAGACGAAGCCGCGGTACGAGCTGGAAACCGTTGAGATCTTGGCTGACCAGACACTAACCTTGGCCGATCAGGTGACAGACTCCACGTTGACATATACGATTTTTTTTTATGTGAAGCATCTATGGATACACGGCTTGGCGGTGCCCCGGTATTGATGAAGTCCCTGGGTGACGATAACCACTCACCACTTACCATCTTACTTACTGGTGGTAGGACCTCTTGTGAGTCCGCGCGGGTAGGTACCACCGCCCCGCCTATTTCCGCCGTGAAGCAGTAATGCGTTTCGGTTTGAAGGGTGGAGCAGCCGTTGTAACTATACTTGAGACCTTAGAACTTATATCGCAAGGTGGGTGGCGCATTTACGTTGTAGATATCTATAGGCTCCAGTAACCACTTAACACCAGGTGGGCTGTGAGCTCGTCCACCCATCAAAGCAATAAAAAAAAGTGGGCCGTATGCTGTAAAAAACATAAAACCGATGGCTGGCGTGATCTTTTTAACGAGGGGTAAAAGCGACATTTTTGCAACTTTACATGAGAGCCATTTAAAGTTTAAAAACTTGGGAAAAATATTATAACAAAAAAAAAACTTCTTCCATATGAAGGCCATTGCACCCCTTAAACCTTCATGGCGGAAATAGGCAGAGCGGTGGTACCTACCCGTGCGGACTTACAACACGTCCTACCGCCAGTAATTACGCAAATTATAATTTGGCGGGTTTCATTTTTATTACACGATGTTATTCCTTCACCGTGGGAGTCAATGGTGAACATTTGTTAAGTACGTATTTCATTAGAAAAATTGGTACATCGATGCATCGCTACATACGAATGCACCGGACGTTTTATCCTTTAGGCCACAACGTCATAGATGTCAGCAATTTCAGGGGCAGAGTCAACCTGCTGCCCATCGGAGGAACAAAAAAACCTGTTGCGGTTGCAGCGAACCCAAGTTCCCAGGCTCGGGAGGATCGCTAATACAAAAGCTGCAGCATGCAAAGCTCTAATCCACCGCGTACTCACTGAGTTTCGTAAGCGCAGCCGCGTATATTACACCTGAACTTGTTCCGGACGGTGGCGCCCTCTGCACCGTGCTTCTCATTGTAGTGACTGACCACAGCGCGTTCGTCGATATACCGCTTCCCGCACGTGTTACATTCGTATCTGTGGTACATCAGTGTGCTTAATGCGAGGTCTTTAACGTTTTCGATAGCGTAAAAGTTAACTCAAATTTGTATGCAAATGGAACAGCGCCCCTAGTGGCAAACGCAGGCAAACGTTCCGACTCCATACAAATTAGAGTTAACTTTTACGTTATCGAGAACGTTAGAAAACACGCTCTAAGCACACAGTATCCTTTCATTATTGAGGGTAGAAGTAAAAAGCACAATCTTGTATAGGGGACAAGTTGAAAAAGTGTCGACTTGTAAACAGCGAGTTATCGTTCGAAGGTTCACCGAAATAGCGCTAGTGTAGCAAGTGGAAGTGATATCGTGAGGTAAAAGGCTGTTTTGATTAAGCGGCATTTTTGCAACTTACAAGAGAGCTATTTAAAGTTTAAGCAATTGGATAAAAAAAAAATTTTTTTTATTTATTGGTTAGATGAGTAGACGAGCTCACAGCCCACCTGGTGTTAAGTGGTTACTGGAGTCCATAGACATCTACAACGTTAATGCGCCACGCACCTTGAGATATAGGTTCTAAGGTGTCAGTATAGTTACAACGGCTGCCCCACCCTTCAAACCGAAACGCATTACTGCTTCACGGCTGAAATAGGCAGGGAGGTGGTACCTACCCGTGCGGACTCACAAGAGGTCCTACCACTAATGAAAAACAATCATAACAAAAAACTTCTTCAACTATTTGAATGGAGTAAGCTTAACTGACGTAGTTCAAATTACGTCGACCTGCCGATGATGCTTGATGCCGATACTAAATAAAACGCACCTTTAATTACAAAGATAAATGTCGCGTGTTAAGCAAAATTTCTCTTAAACCAAACTTTTTACCCTTCGATATGAATATAGCAGTTTTAAACAGAGTGAAGGGTACGGGCTAAAGTGAAGTGTTGTGGCGCTATTTTTAAAATCTTTCCACTTGCTACAGTGGCGCCACCTAATTGGCTTCTTTTCAGTGGACGCTTTTTAATACACTAAAATGGTGCTACTTTCTTCTACCCTCAATACCATTGACACATGAGGTTGAAAGCGAGGACAACTTAGTTCGACGTACTGTTATATCGGTACGAGTAACGCCATCTGTCGTCAGACAGCAAAACAGCTACGTCGAAACGAAACGAAACAAATGGAAGTTTCTTGAATATTCTAGAACATTTCTAAGAATGCTTTGTGTCGGTATTAGTAACGCCATCTGTCGTTATAGTTCAAGAGGCGCTATCGAGGCAAATAGAACATCTCTTGAATGTTCTAGAACATTCTCGTGAGTGTTCAAGTGGCTCTCAAATTCGCGAATTTTCTATCGGGAATATTCCGAAACGTCCTAAACACAGTCGAAACGAACATACAGCCTTGGCACAGATAACAAAAAGAGGACCCTTGTGAAGTTTTTACTCTAAGATATATTTTCCAAAATTTTAACCTTTAAATGGCTCTCCTGTAAAGTTACAAAAATGTCACCTAAACCAAATAGATTTTCGCCCCTCGAATAGTTGAGAGCCGCTGGACTAATTAATTAGTTCTATGAATGAAGGGCGCAAGGTTGACATTCGCTACGGGCTCCGCACTGGACACCAGCCGTCTCACTCATTAGGCAACTGACGCATTCCTAAATTACTTACCTAATGAAATGTCTCCTGTGGTGCGGCACGTACGACCTTTTGTCGTTGAACGTCGACTTACATATCTCGCACACAATCACATCAGCGTTCTCTCTCTAAAAGACACCATGGAGCATCAGAGCCTAATCATAGTCATATTGAAGATACTGCACAAATCGATCCCTGTGCCTTGACGACAATAAATCAAACGACCAATGTTAACAGATTATATGAACTTTTTTTTTTTTGAAGATCTTACGCCCCGGTAACTAGATCTTTAAGCCAAGTTTTACATATTATCTTCCTACATTACGTTAAAATATGTAAAAATTAGATGAATTTAATTAATTTGAGACTTCAATCTATTGGAAGACATTAAATGAAACGAGATGAAATATTAAAGTGAGTAAAATGGCGTCTGGGTACGATGAGTCCACGGGCTTAACCACTTAACACCGGCCAATGAATGAGACTTAAAAAAATCCCCCCAAAAATCACATCCGATATTATGGTTCTGTTGTCAATCTGGACAGGTATGTTTTGTGAGTCCGCACGGATAGGTACCAACGCCCTGCCTATTCCTGCCGCGAAGCAGCAATACCTTTCAGTTTGAAGGCTGGATCAGCCGGTGTAATGAGACTTTAGAACTCATATCTCAAGGTAGGTGGACCTTTGACTACCATATAAGCAAAGGGTAAAAGGGTATTTGGTTTAAGCAACATTTTTGCAACCTTACAGGAGGACCATTTAAAGTGTAATCATTTGGAAAAAATATTATAACAAAAAAAAAACTTTTTCAGTTACTTAGTTATTCGGAGTGTTAGTGTTCAAGTAATCGGGGGCGTATTCCGGAAGTCAGTGACTCTATCAGAGGGCGCGACTGCTACGCTAATGTACTTTGGCACTAGTACTAAAAGAATGACAAATAGATAAATAAAGAGACACAGAAGGAAGACAGGGAAGTAATTGGCCTGTAGCAGCATCTTGAGAAAGGCAAAGGGACACAAATAATTCTGATTAAAAGATATTGTTACTTTTAGATTCTAACACAAGACAGCCCTGAATAAACAGAAAAAAAAACACCAAACTGTTGATGCTGATAGCGAATAAAACGCACCTTTAATTACGAAGATAAATGTCGCTTATATCAAATAACCTCTTACCCCTCCATACCATATCTATATATTATTAACAAGCGGCCCGCTCCGACTCCGATCGGGTCTTTAACAAAAATTTCAACGATATTTGACGTTGTTTTATTTTTTTAAATAAAAGAACACTTATTGCAGCATTGCTATAATAGTTAGACATATGCTGTCGCGACACTTTTTGTAAATAATAATGTGTTCTACAAAGTCATACTACATTATTTTATTCTATCGTCAATAGTTTTCGCAAGGCACGCGATGTAAAGAATATTTTAGGTAATTTTTTTACACCTTGGGTTATATTATTTGAGTTTTAGTAAGGATCCCTATTTTTTTTCAAAAAAAGATTATAGTCTATGTCACTCGCGAATAGTGTAGCTTCGAAACAGTGAAAGAATTTTTCAAATCGGTTCAGCAGTTTCGGAGCCTATTCAATACAAACAAACAAACAAATATTTCCTCTTTATAATATTAGTATAGATATGCGAAGCAAAAACTTTGTAACCCTTTTTACAGAAATTGCGCTTACGGGGGAGTATGAAATTTCCCACACTTATAGAGAACATAGTGAGGTAGTGCAGAACGTAATTTTTTTTTTATTATGCGCAAAGAGTATATGCTATAAATAAATAAATAAAACATTACACACACTACCATGTATTTGACACACGCACACGCATTTATACTCTTTTTTTTATTGTTCATCAATCTGTAGTGAAACTGAGAATAGATTAATATTGCTTGTAATAATAATTATGTATAGACAATCTCGTACCTTGATATGTCTCTCTCGCAGATGTCTCTTCAGAAAAACATCCTTATTATAACCCACGATGCAGTCCTCGCACTTGTAAGGCAACCGTAAATAGTTCTCCTCCGTTCTCATTCTGTCTCTCTCTAACTCCAGTTCCTCACGCGTCAGTGTCAGCATCGTCAGCTTGCCGACGTAACTTTCGTCCATGTACGGAGAGGCATCAGATGTCATCTCAGTTTTCGTCTTCTGCCAATCAGATTCAGCGAATACTTAGTTCATTACGTGTGACGTCATATGTGGTGAATAAACGAAGCGCTAACTACACTTCATCTTATATACGATTGGAGATTATTTTTGATTTAAAATAGTGATTAAATAAATAATAATAAATATATAAATATTTACTAACAATCACGCCACGTTAACTGGTCCCGTGATAAGTTCGTAAAGAACTTGTGTTACAGGTACCAGATAACGGAAATAAATATAAGATTTTTTTTTATACACATACATATATTTAATGGATGTATCATAAACCCTGGAAAAGAAAGAAAGAGAAATATTTATCATACAAATATCTTCCTTTGGCGGGATTCGAACCCGCGACCCCTTTGTGTAGTGACCATGTCACTTACCACTACACCAGACAGCCGTTTAAAAACAATTTGATTAAAAAAAATATACAGGGTGTCTCAGAAAGAATGTATAATCCTGAACCACCTCACAGTAAAGCTATTGGGGCCTCAAAATAAAAGTCATGGTGCCAAAGCCAAGCTCAACATGAATAGTCACCGGAAGTCTTAAGTGTGTAGTACACATGCATGCCTGCAGAATCTGAACTAAGGCACAGCCTTTGGAATCATTTTACAAAAACCATCTCACCTTTATCGCACACATTCCCCTGACAGCATTTTTACGTTTTTTCTCTTTTATCTGTGACAAAGGCAGCGCAGTCTCTAAATCGGAACTATCGCTTTCTATCTTCACGTCTGTATCGTTCGGTGATGATTTACCATTTTCAAAATCCACCATCGCTTCTCGTCCCGACTAGAAATATATTAAATTGATTTAAAATCCTTGGCATATGTATATAATGGAAAAAAACCTGTCCAGTATCAAAAATATCTGTACCCAGTTTCATCAAAATTGTACAGTTAGTAAAGAATAATATACACTTATAAGTGTTTTCTTGCTTCTTCTCTTGTCGTACACATGATTAAAGCTATTTTTAATTACTTAACATTTTAATCTATACTCTATACTAATATTATAAAGAGGAAAGATTTGTTTGTTTGTTTGTATTGAATAGGCTCCGAAACTACTGAACCGATTTAAAAAAAATCTGTCACTGTTGGAAAGCTACGATATCCCCGTGTGACATAGGCTATATTTATTATATTTTCAACAAAAAAAATTAGGGATCCTTACTGAAACTCTAATAATGTAACCGAATGTGTAAAAAAAATACCTAATATTCGTTACATCGCCTGTGCTACTTCCCAAGCAAAGCCGGGGCGTGAAATATAAACTTGTTATTTTTATATAGATATGGAGAAAGCTGTCAAATAAGCCACAAGGCTGTAATCCTTCCTGGTATTTCTAATGTCCGTGAGCAATAGTGACTACAAACTATACAGATGTTTTATGATCATCATCTTAGGCCTTACAGCCCAGGATGGGCCTTAGCCTGGTCCAGTATGTCTCTCCAGACTGCTCTGTTCAGGGCTTTCTCCTTCCAGTTCCTGATACCGATAACTCTGAGGTCGTGCTCTACGCCATCAGTGCTCTATGGAAATAGATGTCTGCGTAGTAACAAAAAAAATATATCTACACTCTATCATTCAATGCATTTTAATACTTAAACTTACAATATGGTGTTTTTCTTCAAGAAATTCATTATTGGTGTCTTCCACAATCAATACAAAGTTTTTTCCAGGTTTTACGTTGGTGTCTTCGCTTAGAAAATTTATTTCAATACTGGTGACATTTGATGACGTTAAGTTATTACATTTCTTTATTTTATTTTCGTTTGTATGAAATATCTGAAACATCACAGTGTATTTTTAATAGGAACGGGTAATTTTAATACTATTTTATGTTATCAATTTCTCTGTGGACAAATCGAAGATCCTCTACCAAGAAGGTGAAATTGATGGTAGATGGATGTCCCAAATGTTTATGTTTCAGAACTTGTATTTATGCAAACTTATCTTTATAACGTTACGGTATTAGAAAGATTCGGGCATCTGTTATGTATCTCGTGTTTATTATACCTGGCTACCACAATAACTTCAATGGTATATATGATATATTATCTAAGTCGTTCCACACTTACTGCTACTATGGTCTTAAAATACACACAACCAATCCAAAAAAATATGTGATAATAAAACCTGTTTATTCAATATTTGCATGCTTTCCTCCACTTGTGACTTGAAGAGTTCTATCTTCCTCAGGATCTCGTGACAATAAGTACATACTAATGTATTTTGAAATTCAGTCTGAAAATAATAAGGTAACTTCATGTGTATAGATTTGCTTTAAGAGAATCTTCCCAACTATACTACGTTTTGCTTGGACTAGTTTATACCGAATGAAAGAAGTCCTGTGCTCTACAGTTGGACGTTTATTCCTATAATAATACCAAGGGTTTATATTCTCTGCGTAATGAATTTGATCTAAATCGCTAAAACAGTTTGGACGCGACATATATTTTTGTTTTTTTTCCAATGTATTAGAAAAAGTTATAATTTTTTAGGTCTTACGGTGCAGAAGTAAATTACAAAAATATTTAAATGAAATTTTGTTGACGTCATCCGATTTCAATGAAACAAAATATATATTAGGGCACCAGTTAGAATGATGTCTACATGTGTAAGTACTATTAGACATTTCAAAAGATGTACACTAACAAACGGTGACCCAAAAATAATTCTACAGATTGCTGGTTTATCTTCTGTTAGTCGCTTAACTTAGTAACCGTTCTTTATATTTTTATTACTCTTCTTTAGTGTATAAATTCCGCACAAATTCTACTGTTTTTATTTCTATGTTTACAGAGGATCTTTGAGGCTAAATGCCTTTTTATTGCCAAATATTCCTTAAAATTGACTGATATAAACGCTTAATTATGTTTATTGAGGCAATGAACTTTACTATTCACCTTATATTTGAAAAAATAATTGAGAAATTCGATGTGTTTACATCTGTTTAAATTTACAAAATTTACGTTTTGTGACAGACAACACACACAAAAATCTCCTTCAGGCATTAAATTAGATGTATCCGTTTCGCTAATGTATTGTGGAGGGTTTAAAGCTATAAAATGAGTCATTTTATTTGTAATATTAAAATAAATCATAAATTTTTAATGTTTTAAACTTTTTTTTCTGTTGTCGTTCACTTGTCATTGATAGTGAAAGGAGCACAAGTGTCATTGTCAAATATATATTTTTTGTTTGATTCGTCCATTTGTGTGACAAATGGAACGTAGCCTGTACTATGAAACATGCAAATTTTTTTGGCGATAAATTATCAGTGCTCTATTAATTAGTTATCTCAACTTATTTTATTGACCTTCATCCCAATTGATTACAATTTCTGATGAGTCCACCTCATTTTATTTTTCACATAGTATTTATATCTGATTTACTGGTAGGAAAATTATTAAATGACAAATGGAACGTAGCCTGTACTATGAAACATGCAAATTTTTTTGGCGATAAATTATCAATGCTCTGTTATTTAGTTATCTCAACTTATTTTATTGACCTTCATCCCAATTGATTACAATTTCTGATGAGTCCACCTCATTTTATTTTTCACATAGTATTTACATCTGATTTACTGGTAGGAAAATTATTAAATATTTTATTAACTCAACGTTGAAAACATTGGTATTAAGAGAAGGCAATTGTCATAGTAACAGGAGATACAGGAGGAGAAGACTTTTAAACGTGTGAACGAATGAAGCTCATACAGTATTAGCTTTATAATACAACGGCATCACCACCGGTTTGCTACAGAAATAGGCAAGAGTGGTAGAACCCATGCGAGCTCACAAGACGCCTTACCACCAACAAAAATCGTATTCTTTTGGAATTCCCTGGATTCTAAGCCGCAGATCGGAATAAGTTCGTTCAAAGTATTATTTGAGTTTCTACAGCCTAATTTGCATTATCCTGTTTTTCTTTTGTTATTCTCTAAGAATTTGTAATGGCTGTGTGGAGCGATATCTTTTAGTTGACTTATAAAATAATTAAAAACTTCATTTTGTTATTGTATTTTTTTATTTTTTCAATTTAGGGCGCTTGTGCACCAAGCGATTGTGGGTGTATAGCGACGCCGCATGTGCAAAGGTAACGCCGCATTCCTTACAGCTCAATGGTCTTTCGCCGGTGTGAGTTCGCAAATGTTCAATCAGCGACTTCTTATGCTAAAATATAAAGAGAATCGAGTGAGGTATTCAATTTTTTCCTCTACCTAATCGCTGGTAGCCTAGGGGGCTTATTCTGGGCACGGGCTCAACCTGAGAGAATTTGCTAACACAAACCCTAGCAAGAGCGGTGCTTACCGGAATCTACTACCGAATCGCGACCCACTGAGAAGATCCGGCGAGAAACCAATGCATACACTAAGAGGAAAGATAAGTTCAGTAAAATAGAAAACTATTTTCTTTTTAAAGATGCTACGTCCCGATAACTAGACTTTTAAGCCAAGTTATATTTTCTTCTTGTATTGTGTTATAATAGGAAGCGAAGCCAGTCGCGCTTTATCCAATTTACATTTCAAGGTTGATTGCACTGAAGTTGCGATATCTATGGACTGTTTGAGACCAGGCGTTGATCTCATGTAGCCACAGCGATATGGAGAGTAGAAGTAAGGAGCACCATCTCAGTGTATGAAAGTGTCCGCTGAGAGGGAACCAATTAAGGTGGCGCCACAGTAGCAAGAGGAAAGGTTTTAAAAACATAGCTATAAATGACCAAAAACTGCTATATTCATATTATTTCCACTACTTTCTACACTAGCGCTATTTCGGTGAGTCTTCCAACAATAACTCATTGTATTATATGTGGACACTTTTTCAAATTGTCCCTTAAACAAGATATCGCTCCTTACATCTACACTCCATAGACAGCGAGACGAAGTGGATCTCTGCTATACATAAATCGATTTATAGAAATATCATTCGATTACTCGTTGGGGTGTACAATCTTATGCCTCCATTATTAAGGATCAATTTGACGTTTCATAATTTACCCTGTACTCCTTGCCGCACTGATGACAAAGGATCCTCTCTCTGACGACCGAAACGTTTCCGTGCGATCGCTTCACGTGCTTCTTCAGTAGCGTTTCCGTCCTGAATATCTAAAAAAGAGCGTCACGCATGTCGCTTGAATGACAATGACAGACGTCAAACTTGACAGCTGTCAAATATTAAACGTCACATCTCTAAAAACGATCGCAACTTCGGATCTCACGTGGTTTTGCTAGTGACCCTCTCTCCGGTAGCCGATATCGATTTGCGAGAGAACGAAGTTTACACGCATACTATTTCTATTGGGGCATACTATAGACCCGCTACTAGGTTTTTTTTTAACTGACTGTCGTTTATTTTCATCATTAATTAATCTAATAATTCATCGTATACAAATAATAATATAATATCTATAATCTATAATATATATAATCTATATATATAAAAATGAAACCCGTTTTCCGTTGTCACGACATAACATGAAAACGGCTTGACCGATTTGGCTAATTTTGGTCTTGAATTATTTGTGGAAGTCCAGAGAATGTTTAAAAGGTATAAAAATATGAAAATTCTCGGAATTAAATAAAAATAACAATTTTGTTTTCCCTTTGACGTGTCCCCCGTCGGACGGATTCCTTTTGTTTGTTTTAAGTTTATTCTATATAAAAGTTTAGGTCTTTTATTTATCGATTGAGGCACTACGAAGTCTGCCGGGTCAGCTAGTATTAATATACTTTAAAAACAAAAAGAAGCTCTTAAACAGCAAACCGAATTAATAATTAATTCAATTTTTATTTCTTTATCGAGATGTAGGACGAGCCAATAGGCGTTCAAAATACAATAGACATATCGCGTTTAAAAGTGACATTACTTTATCGTGCCGTTTATGTAGGTTCTCCGTACCTCTATCCTACATTATGAAAGAAAACTTGAAAAAGTGTCCTACTTTCAGCACTAAATAACAATTCAAAATTCCTCCAAAATCGCGCTAGCATAGGCACAAGGTATGATATGAATTGAGCAGTTGTTAGCTGATTGAAGTATGATGAGTTAGGAAATTTAATATATTTAATGACTAGAGTAGTTAGTAACAGTGTACAAGACCTCACATCTTTACGTAGTCCAAACTAATTTCGTCAATATAACCTAAAATTATTGTTGTGGTAAAAAGTGGTAAAAAAAGCTTTAAATAAAATACTCTAAGATTTTCTAGTACTTACAGTTATTTCGTCATTTTTTATTTCTCTATCTTATTCTAATAACTTTCACCGCCTTTTTTTAAATTTACCCGGTTGCTACTGTAGCGCCACCCTTATTTAGCAGATTTTAACGGACACTTTTTTGCACACAGAGACGGTTCTCCTAACCTCTACCCTCATAGTGCCGTTAAGCATCAGCTCTGTACCGCCTTCCGGGGCCTTACCTTCGAGCACTCCCGGCACCCGTGCTCAATATGCAAATGCTGCATCTCGATGTGCGTCCTGAGGTAGCTCTTCAGCATGAACCTGTCGCCGCAGTCGTGGCAGGTGAATCTAGAAGCGTGCTTTTTTAGTGGTTATTGGACGAGCTCACGAGCCACCTGGAGTCAAGCGGTTACCGGAGCCCATAGATAGGCATATTAGTAGTAGTATCCACCAGTATCCTTTAGGAATCCTCTGGATTCCAGCGTATTTCTGTACTAAAAAAGTTTTTGGTTTGTTTTTCGGAAGACAGCGTCGGTACGCTAATTCGAAAGGGCGGCACCTCACGATAATCCTCTTGACATTGCCATTACGAACCCAACGCAGTCTTTTAAGCTCTACAACTAAGTTTGCGACGAACCTCTTCTCGGTGTCCTGGTGCAAGTGCTTGGCGTGGTTGCGGAGGGTGTATTTAGAGTTGAACTCCTTCCCGCACTGCGGGCAGTAGTACTTGATGACATCATGAGTCGATGACGTGTGGTGCTTCAAGCCCCCCCGACTCTTATACTCACTCCCGCAGAGCTGACATTTGAACGTGCGATTTTTCTTGTCGTGAACCTTCCTAAAGTTACATTGGGTGCATTAACGAGTGAAAATCGAACGGAAATTCACTTTGGTAAATTACTGCAGCCTTGTTTGGATAGAAAGATTACTGAGAATCGGAAGGCCCTTCAGTTTCGCCGGGAGGGGCGGGAGGGAATGAACTAACAACTGCCCGAGTGCCTCCGTAGAAGATCTGACAACTCGAGGACAGCTATTGAAGTCGTCGTGGCCTAAAGGATAAAACGTCCGATGCATTCGTATGTAGCGATGCACCGGTGTTCGAATCCCGCAGGCGGGTACCAATTTTTCTAATGAAATATACGTACTCAACAAATTTTCACGATTGAACTCCACGGTGAAGGAATAACATCGTGTAATAAAAATACCCGCAAAATAATAATTTGGGTAAGTACTGGTGGTAGGACCACTTGTGAGTCCGCACGGGTAGGTACCACCACCCTGCCTATTTCTGCTGTGAAGCAGTAATGCGTTTCGGCTTGAAGGGTGGGGCAGCCGTTGTAACTATACTTGAGACCTTAGAACTTATATCTCCAGGTGGGCAACGCATTAACGTTGTAGATGTCTATGGGCTCCAATAACCTCGTCCATCTATCTAAGCAATAAAAAAAAGCTTCTTCACGAATGCATCTGCTAACGTATCGGAATCGCGACCCGCTGTGACTATCCAGCGAGAAACTCAATGGGCTAATGTTATGGGTTAAATTTCACGTCCAACTCTTGGACGAGTTCGACGAGTACTGTTATCTGGATCCTGTGCCTGGTCTTAGTTCTAGAGCTAGACCAGACGTCTAACAGTTTCGTTAATGGATCGGGTGGTGCAGACGTGTCTAGGCCAGAGCAGACGTCTAATGGATCGAGTGGTAAAGACGTGTCTAGGCTAGAGCAGAAGTCTTACAGTTTCGCTAATGGATCCGGTGGTACAGACGTGTCTAGGCCAGAGCAGACGTCTAACAGTTTCGCTAATGGATCGAGTGGTAAAGACATTTCTAGGCTAGAGCAGAAGTCTTACAGTTTCGCTAATGGATCTGGTGGTAAAGACGTCTCTAGGCTACAGCAGACGTCTAACACTTTTGCTACTGGATCGGGTGGTAAAGACGTGTCTAGACCGTCGAAGATGACTGACTCCTACCTGTCAGCCGTGATTGAATTTAGCACCGGCCACGACGATAGGATTTTCATGACGCATCGTTAGATTCATTCCCGAAGTAATTGCCCTTGAGTTGTTAGGTCTCCTTCAGAGGCGCTTGGGCAGTTGTTAGCAAATCCCACCTCTCCTGGCTGAGGCTTGCTAGCCCGCCTGTCCTGGTGTAACTAGAAAGGCCTCCGGGCCACCAGTAATCTTTCAATCATAAAAAAATCAGTTATCTGTAAAGTCGGTTTACTGACGATAGTTGAACGTGACAACGTCATAAGAAAAATTGGAATGGTTTCATTTTTCACAAGAAAATTTTAATTTGTTTGATAGATATTTTGTATGGACAATTGACACCACATTCACTTTTCACTAAACTTCATACTTGACGAAAACATTTAAATGTATTATTGTATAGCAGCTGTCCACGTGGATGCATCGCTCACTCGAGTAGGAGAGAGACAGATGTCAAACCCTGCCGAACGCGGAGGCCGATTGTGCCTCTTTGTCGCTCGTTGCGCGCTCTCGCTTGCACTTCAAGCCTTAAATGGAACGCCTCAATGAGTCATATTTTTTCCTGCGTGCAACCGGCTCCATCGAATTATAAGACGTTGTCACGTCAAAAAAAAATGACGCATCCCCTCAACCGAAGCACTCCATCGCTAAATATTAATAACGCTACTCCTGTAAAACTTACCTTATGTGCAATGTCAGAGTGTGATTGTTGGCGAATTGCTTGTAGCAGATCCCGCATTCTGGCTTGGGCTTGTGACTCGCCACGTGCTTGGTGTATGCGCTTTTTTTACTGAAGCAAACATTTAGCTTAAAAACCCGAAAACGAAAAAGATAAACGCTTAAGCCTTCGTCAAACAGAACGCGTAATTAGCGCGCGTCAGAGCGCTAAACTGACGCCGCGCTATGACGCACGCTAAGTACGCGTTCTGTTTGACGAAGGCTTTAAAACGTTGCCGTGTAGGTCACCGGTGCCCTGCGCGGCGCACTGAAGTAATTATTTCGATATATGTTACTAAGGCGCCGGAATATCTAGTAGACTATAGGAAAACGGATCCGAACGATACCGAGAATGAATCTATTTCTAAGAGACCTAAAATACTAAAGCATGTACATTAACAAACAAAAGAAGGTAAATTTAGGCAATCCAGACGCTTAATAACAGTAACTCGACATAATTACTTCAGTGCGCCGCGTAGGGCACCGGTGATCTACATGGTAGTTAAAGAGTAAAACATCTAAAGAGCAGACTTGCTCGGGATTCGAAGCCATAATCATCGGTGCAGCGTTCAGGGGCGCTATAAGCAGTATCGATTTAGTCCAGTATATTCACATCTTCAAACACCCCCTCCAGACTCACCTCGTTGTGAAGTAGCACTCGGTGTTGGCGCAGCAGTACTCCTTAGTCGGTATCGAGGTGCGATCCGACCCGTGTTCGGTGTTGTAGTGGACAATACAAGACTCCAAGCCCCGATAACGTTTCCCGCACACCACGCATATGTACCTGCCAGTTTGATAACGGCGTCACCTTTTCCAAATTTGATAGCTATTTGGGGTAGGGGGAAATCTTACGGGTTCGCGTCACCGATATGCTAAAGTTGTGCATGCATAGCGACCTGTGTATATGAAACTTATAACATTTTGTATACACTGGGTGTTAGGAGACCGCTTCCCAAAAAGGAAAACAGACGATAATACTAATGACGCCTTTGATGATGGAGTTATTTAGACAAATGTTGTAAATAAGTATTTGTGTGATCGTGCGAGAATGCGCCGCGCCGCGCCCGGGCGGTCGTTGACCCGAGCATCAGCTGTTTTCAATTTTGTGTTTCGTTGCTGGTTTTTTTTTTAGTAAAGTACCTAATGCATTTTTTTATGAAACCATCGTTTCATTTAGCTGTACTAACATGATGGAGCGTAAATAATGCTAATAAAACGTTTTAAAAATATGATTTTTTTTAGTCAGGATCGTCCCATCATCAAAGGTTCTATTATTCAAAAATATTTTCACTTTCTACGTAAATGAAGTCGCGGGTAACATTTAGCGTTATGCCAAAGTAACTATTTCACGCGAACGAAGTCGCGGGCAAAAGCTAGTTAGAAAATAAAGTCTATAAAAATTTTCAAACGCTAATATAGATACGAAAATTGAAATTAAATTATAATAAAAAAAATATATATTTATTTATTTAGTACTCACTATTGTACTACTGCAGTGATTCTAATATACAATTAAGATAACTAGTGGTCCCTTAGTAGTTGAAATTCAACCATAATTAATTTAAATTTTAAGTTTGAACTTTATTATTGTTCTATTCTCAACCACACTTTTATAATCACAGGTTTCACCAAGTCTATACTATAGACAAATAATATTAATCTAGGTATTCTCAATTTGACCACGGACGTTTTTTTTAATTATTTATTAGAGCCACACACCTATTAGGTTAAGTCGGCCTAAGTGAGACCTACTACAATGCGAGGTCCAACACAACGCGAGGCCTACTACAACGCAAGGCCCACTACAACGCGAGGCCCATTACAACGCGAGACCTACTACGTGAGGCCCATTACAACGCGAGACCCACTACAACGCGAGGCCCGCTACAACGCGAGACCTACTACAACGCAAGGCCCACTACAACGCGAGACCTACAACGTGAGACCTACTACAACGCGAGGCCCGCTACAACGCGAGACCTACTACAACGCAAGGCCCACTACAACGCGAGACCTACAACGTGAGACCTACTACAACGTGAGGCCCACTACAACGCGAGGCCTACTACAACGCGAAAAAGCGTCTAAGGCGCACAGCACACGGTCAGGTACGTACGATATGTTATACCGGAACCACACTGCGTTATGCGCTATTCTTTATGTGACTATGCCGTATTCTAAAATTTTTTTGTTATGCGCGCATACTACAAACATGCCATCCACACTTCGAACTTGTACGCTGAATTATGCCAAACAAGGCAAATATGTGTGTTGTTTGCGTGGAACGATGCGACGTGTTGAGAGAGTTGCCGCAATTTATTATTTCCTAAATGCTTCTTACCAGTACTTGTTGTACAAGTACAAAGTTACTGTTGCGCGCTGGGGGTTCGGGATAAATAAAAAATTTCTACCGAATTACAAGTTAACGCTGTATTAGCACTTAGAACATGTAAAACACTTCACAACAACATTAAAATTCTCAATTCGCTTCTTCCGCTTCGCTTCAAATGATACGTTCGCTGTTTCGCTTCGAGTAGTTCCGATTACTAACTGACTGCGTGCCATCTCTGCAACCTGCCGGTATCACATCCCTAGAATTATCGAGAATATTCCACACATTTCTAGTATCGTGTTTCCCCTACCTGATAATAGATGGCGTTGAACTTCTCGAACGCTCTAGGTGCTACTAGATCCGTCGATATTCGTTCCGACTATTCGGCGATAGATGGCGTTACATTTACCGGCGTAACATTACTAAAAGACCGCAAAGAAAACGCCGGTGGATGATTACAAGTCATAAGATACGTCGATACACGACCGCCGCAGGCGAGCGAATGACTCGCCGAAGTGTGGGCAGTCGATGTACATATTCACCTTACTCGTGTCCTTTGAAGTGCGTCAAAAAACCGACAAGTCGACGGATACTCGTATTTGCTATTCGTCTTTCTTTTTTTTATTGCTTAGGTGGATGGACGAGCTCACAGCCCACCTGGTCTTAAGTGGTTACTGGAGCCCATAGACATCTACAATGTAAATGCGCCACCCACCTCGAGATATAAGTTCTAAGGTCTCAGTATAGTTACAACGGCTACCCCGCCCTTCGAACCGAAACGTATTACTGCTTCACGGCGGAAATAGGCGGGGTGGTGGTACCTACCCGCGCGGACTCCCAAGAGGTCCTACCACCAGTGAATTCGTGCTTATGTGTTATACGTACTGTTACGGGGTCCCCCTCCGAAGTCATTTAAAAAAAGAAATTGTATCGGATTAAAATAAAATTTATTGATATATAATTATATTACAAAGAAGGAGGGCAACCCTTAAACAACCGATCGACGTGAGAGCTGAGAATAGAATGCGTGAAACGCGGACTATTTGTGACTTAACTCATGAAACTGCTGACAAGGCGGTAGATAGGTACCTAAATGTGTCATCCACCTAGGGTTCAGTACACGGTTATAACACTACGAATAAAGCGATTATTGGCGAATATACTCTCCACACTTCGTCGTGTGGGCGTGAATAATCCGCGTAACGTATAGCGAATAACGCAGTATGGTTCCGGCATTATACGCGTATACTAGGGATGATCGATATTAGAAAAACATCGATGTTTTAACAAGAAGTCCTCCCACCACTAAGCCTACAACCTTTTTTTTTTTTTATTGCCCCTGTAGGCTGACGAGCGTACGGCCCACCTGATGGTGAGTGGTTACCGTCGCCCATGGACTTCAGCAATGGCATGGGCAGAGCCAAGCCGCTGCCTGCTGCTTAATACTCAAGTGCAAGTAAGCCGCGGTCTATTTATTTGCTGACCTAGTTCTCGTCCAGCCAATGCTCTCTAACTATAAAACCGGCCACTGTACTTTTGTAAGGATACTCTAACACGCGCTACTTGGTCCTCACCTGGTATGATGGTTCTTCTGATGGTACAGGTACTCCGAGTGGCCTTTGAACACTTGAGTGCAGATCTGGCACAGGTAATGCCCGTTCGACTGAAATCATCATCATCATAGCCGGTTACGCTTGGCAGAACAGTCGTGGTCATGCGGAATTCTTGTTTATTATTTATTTATTTATTATTATTATTGTCAGTCAGTCATTCAGTCAGTCAAAATCTTATAGTTCATGAACTCGTATGTACCCGGTGTAACCGGCTGTATGGATTAAATTCCCTTTGCCTGTTGATATGATCGATAAAAAACAAAAAATTATATCTAATTGCATAGAAGAAAAATTAATGAACATTAAAGATATTATAATGATTTAAAAAATCTTATTCACTTGAAAAGTACTTACTTACCCTATTGTGCCTCTCAAAGTGTTTCTTGTAAACGTTTTCATTATTCCAACCGATGACGCAATCGTCACACTTATATAACAAATTCATGTACGTTTCACTGGATCTCTTCTCGTCTCTCTCCCTATCCACAGCTTCCTTGGTCAGGACCATGATTTTGATTTTCTCAGTTAGCAGATTGTCCACCTCTCGCGTTGCGTTCGGTAACTGCAGGAGAAGAACAATTTATAAATACTTTGGTCCCATGGTAGTCGAAATTCGACTGTAATTAGTTGAAATGATAAGTTTGAAAATTATTATGGTTCTATTGTTAAAGACTCTTTAAACTTCTATAATCACAGTTTTCGCCAAGACTGCCCTATACACAAATAATATTAATCTATTCTCAAATTGACCACAGACTAACAATAAATTAAAGAGTATAACTTAGGTATATAAATCGGCGCGTGTTTTTATAAACCATTAGTTCATGACTAATAAAGATGGGACGACAAACAACACGTGCAAGCATTCATCGAAAACAACACGTGCAAGATAAGAGTCGTAAACAACATCGTCCCACCACGATACCTTGCTATAAAAACGCTCCGTTGTTGTCTCTCGAACTCACGTCATTACGGATCCTCCTGATCCATTAACGGTGCTTTTAGGCACCACAAGCACCGGTCACCGTCCTCGTCGAACCCGTCGCTTGCGACGAAGGGCTCGAAGAGTGAACTAACCCATAGACACAGCCCACTGAGTTTCTCGCCGGATCTTCTCAGTGGGTCGCGTTTCCGATCCGGTGGTAGATTCTGCGAAGCACTGCTCTTGCTAGGGTCAGTGTTAGCAATTCTCCGGTTGAGCCCCGCGAGCTCACCTACAAACGTTAGGGTGAAGCTGAAATAGCCTCTCAAGGCTATCAAGATAGGAAGGAAAAAAAAAAAAACTCGATCAGAAGCGAGCGAGTCGCCGTATCAGACGGAGCGCTCCTGCGTAATATACGCTCTGAGTTAATATTTCAGGTTTTATTGACTTACGAAGACCACCCGCTTACCATGTCGCTGCCCGAAAGTGGAAATACTCCAACATATATAATATGTTACGGTAAATGTACGGTATCTTGGGAAAGGTACACTTTTACTGATAAATGTGCACATTTGCCAAAAAGTTAGGTATATGTGAAAGGAATATAATTTATATTATGTACATTTCCCGGCAAATGTGTACTCTTGCCTTTACGTTTTGGTAAATGTATACTCTTACCTTCATGTTTTAAGAAAAGTTGGAATACAAATAAACTAATAATGTTTTTGCAGTAAAAAATATATTTATTTAAATAAACATAATACAAAAGGCTTTAATGACGAAAATTATTTTAATTAAAAAATGTAAATGACAAACAAAACATACTTATCTATGCATATTATATATAATAAATTGTAGGTTAGGTTCAGTTAGGTTGTAGTGGTGCGTATGCGCATGCGCACCACATCACTAGCACTTGCGATTTCACATTTTGTATGCCATGCCGCAACATATATACTATACCGTCCATTAGGGTAACTTAAGCTTTCCGTTTAACGTTAGCCCATTTACTCACTTTTTACATATTTATTTTTAATTTCCAAACGGGATACATGTTTCCATATAGTCCAAGATCCCAGGGCCCCCAGACGTCACGTATTTTCTGACGAACGAAATGTGGCCGATTGCGTAGTGTTAGTATGTAGTAAGGTAGCATGCCTACCTGTTACCATGCTTAGACGGCCAATTTTCAGGTATCAGGTACTCAAGGTATATAAAATCATGACCTACTTCACGTATTTTCTGAAAGCTGATTTTTACGTATATTTTAGGCAATATCCTTAAAAAGAAGTCGCCAATACTTCCAGACACTTTCCGTCGGCCGAATTGCTTTGCAGACGCTTTAAAGGGCCAATCATCCCAGGGCATTATCCACGCGCATGAGACTGAGTGAGACATGTATTAGTATATATTGACTTCTCTGTCTCTCTATCTCTCTCTTACAGTTGACTCATATCAATTAATTATTAATATTAAAAGAAAATCAGTTAAAACTAAATAATCAGGTAAATACTTAGTCTGGCCATAAATACTGTTACAATTAAAAATTTAAAAAAATCTATTGCAAATAACATTTATTACTTTTACAGTGTGTTAGTTTAATATTACGGTTTTACATAACAATAAAACCGATATTATGTGCCGAGAAGGAAAACATACAGCATTGTATTATGAAGAAGCAGTGTGTACTTAGCTTAGATTCCTTGTCTATGTCCAACCATAGACAGTCAATTTAGTTCCATCTTTAGCCGCTAGGTGCTGCCAGCAAGTATAAAGGGAGCGCAGCCATCTTTGANGCGGCCCCGGGACTTTTGTTGAACTCGCCGAAAGGCGAGGCCCCGGATAGGATTTGTAACCCCCCTGTGCTGCAGGACAGCAAGGAGCAGGGGGGGGGGAATGCCTATGCCGTGAAAACGGCAATCGGCGGGGAAAAGGAAAGGAACCCGCTCGGGCTGTATAGTGCTACAGCAGGCAGAATCGCGAGCGGGGGTCTAGTCTTGAAAAATACTGTTGTTTTGGGAAAGGTTAGGAAATCGCTAGCCTGTGAGTGCCACAGGAAGCCTGATCGTAGCGATTGGTTTTGCCTTGAAAAAGGCAGTTGGTAAAGGGTGGGTTCGCGGTTACAACACTTTAGCGCACAAAAATGGACTCCGAGACGCAAATCGCAAGCGACCAACGGATCGGCACGTCCGCACTACCGAATTGTAAGCACGATGTATTCACGGTCACTACACTGTCGAGCACAACTGTGAGTTCAGAGACGCAGCTCGCAAGCGGGCCACGGATCGGAAAGCATGTCCGCGCACGACCGAGTCGTGAGCGAGAATAAGCTGCTTCGTCCGCCTCCATCGATTACTTTTATTGTCACGAGTGCTCTTCGTGCAAACAGTAAAAATAAGATTACTTTTTGGTAATGATACAGAATCGGTACAAATAAGAAATCATAAGATCGGTACCTCTAACTTTGATATGTTATCTCATCGTAGACGGTGATGTCCTTGGGCTCCTATGACGACATAATCCGAGCTTAGCCGTAATCTCTTCCGCTCAATTCTATTTTAGGCACAAGTGAGAGGTCACGTTATAGTGGTTATAATTGTATGTATGAGGCTTAAAGTGTAAGGCGTCTCATAGACAGTCCAGGGGGTCGCCGGATCTTCTCAGTGGGTCGCGTTTCCGATCCGGTGGTAGATTCTGCGAAGCACTGCTCTTGCTAGGGCCAGTGTTAGTAACGCCTCCGGTTTGAGCCCCGAGAGCTCACCTACACGCTAGAGTAACGCTGACATAGCCTCTCAAGGCTATCAGCATAGGTAGGAGAAGGTAGGTATAAGAAGTCGTCGTGGCCTAAAGGATAAGACTTTCGGTGCATTCGTATCGAGCGATGCATCGGTGTTAGTATCCCGCAGGTGGGTGCCAATTTTTTTTATGAAATTCGTACTTAACAAATGTTCACGATTGACTTCCACGGTGAAGGAATAAATAACATCGTGTAATAAAAATCAAACCCGCAAAATTATAATTTGCGTAATTACTGGTGGTAGGACCTCTTGTGAGTCCGCACGGGTAGGTACTACCACTCTGCCTATTCCAGCCGTGAAGCAGTAATGCGTTTCGGTTTGAAGGGTGGGGAAGCCGTTGTAACTATACTTGAGACCTTATATCTCGAGGAGGGTGGCGCATTTACGTTGTAGATTTCTATGGGCTCCAGTAACCATTTAACGCCAGGCGGGCTGTGAGCTCGTCCACCCATCTAAGCTATAAAAATAAAAAAAACAATATTTTCTTGTAATTTTGAACTTTAAATGGTTCTCCTGTAAACTTGCAATAATGTTGCTTAAACCAAAGAGCCTTTCACCGGTCGATATAAACTTTTATCTAAGGCGTACGATAGATTTCCTCAAGTCATATACGACCATGGTTTTCTGAAGCTATCATTATTACCTACTCGCACATCATCCTTCCGTACCATTAATGTATTCTATATGTTTTTTTCCAATCGCCTCCGCGATTAAACTTTCTGAATCCACAAAAAAAATTGTAGCGTAACATTGTCTGTTGCTAATTTATCAGATGCAAGGACGCGGGGAGTCGCTCCAATTTGTCTCTTATAATGGCCATTAATCACTCACAAAACACGAATGTTGGATCTGTATCGGGGGAAAGCGGAGAATAGGATATCCGGAGGCTGGTATCGGAGGTTCGGAACTTATATTGCGTACGTACCGTTACTATTAATAATGTAAATTTTACTCACAAACATGAGCAGTCGTGAATACTTACTTATGCACGTGTTTAAAGACGAATTATAAACATAGAAATTTAATCTACACGTAATGTATCTAAAATTGTGAATCAAATAATCGCCAATATCGGTTAAGAAATATTACGCTGAAAATATGCCTTAGACTGAAGAACTACATGAACAAATATTTAAAACACTGGTGGTAGGACCTCTTGTGACTCCGCGCGGGTAGGTACCACCACCCTGCCCATTTCTGCCGTGAAGCAGTAATGCGTTTCGGTTTGAAGGGTGGGGTAGCCGTTGTAACTATACTGAGATCTTAGAAATTATATCTCAAGGTGGGTGGCGCATTTACGTTGTAGATGTCCATGGGCTCCAGTGATCACTTTACACCAGGTGGGCTGTGAGCTCGTCCACCCATCTAAGTAATAAAAAAAATATCGAAATATTGTAGATTGGAAATAAAATTGCGATTGTACCTATTATTAACTAGCTTTACCCGTGGCGTTACTCTCGTTAATGTAGAAAAACATATTCTCACGCGAATAGGACTTGTTTTTCTGGATTAAGCACCTTTACCTTTCTCCTCAGTCCATTTTTGTACTCCTACCCTTTTCTCGTACGCAGGAAATTTCAGGATGATCGGTTAGTTAGTTTAAACATTGAACTTAATGAACAAACTCACTTTGGTATTGGTTATATTAGTAGGGAACGCCAAAAGATATATAAGATTCAAATCGTACTTTTCAATTTCAGAACTCTGACAACAAGGAATTATTTAACTGAACATTTTGTTTTCTATTGCAATTGAAATAAGCGGCTCGGCTTGCTTAACTTTAAACTAGATCATGAATTGCGTTGATGCTGGTGATCAAAATAACGTTAAGGTCAGAATTGTGTTGTCCCTAAAAAATCC